TTGTGGGAGGGAGGAATGATGCCAACATCAGCCACTAAGGTGTTCCCCGCCAACTAGAGATTGCATTATGGGAAATGTGACGGTGCCCCACTGCTACCCTTACATGCTACCCAGTATAGCACTATATTCTAGATGAATTGCTGTGGAAACACCTATCGAATTCTGGGATATACAGTTTAGGAGGGCAAATTTAGAATTCTAAGAAGACTCCAGTGCTTTAGCAAACTACAAAACCCATAAGATGGTGCTACTTAAAGTGGAATCATAGCATTGCAATCATTTGGTGTGGAAAAGCCCTTGCTTTCACCAAGGTGAGTTGTGACTCCCCAGATGTTCTGGAACGAAACCTCTTATTTATTTATTTATTTATTTATTTATTTCGCGCGTTTCTACCCCGCCCTTCTCAACCCCCGAGAGGGGACTCAGGGCGGCTTACAAAAGGCACAATTCGATGCCAACAACAACAAGATAAAACATGTATCAATAGCAATTAAAAACAATTAAAACAAACAAGTTATATATCACAATCAATAAAACCAATCTAATTCCACATTGTCAAATCCTATCAATTCTAGTTGTCATTGTCCTTTATCTATCTGCCAGATTACCCAAAGGCCTGGTCCCATATCCATGTTTTTAGTTTCCTTCTAAAAGAGAGGAGGGATGTCGATGACCTAATTTCCCCGGGAAGTGAATTCCACAGGCGAGAGGCCACCACCGAGAAGGCCCTGCTCCTCGTCCCCACCAATCTCACTTGTGATAGAGTTGGGGCTGAGAGCAGGGCCTCCCCAGAAGATCTTAAACTCCAAGGCGGGACGTAGAAGGAGATGCGTTCGGACAGATGCTGGGCCGGAACCATATAGGGTTTTGTAGGTCAAAACCAGCACTTTGAATTGTGCTCAGAACTGGATCGGCAGCCAGTTTCTGGCACACAAGCAAAATTTTTGCCTTCTACTGAAGTGTCACCTTCCTTTTAGGAACTGACCATTCAGGAACAAACATCCAAAACCCAGGAACAAACTCAGACAAAAAGTCCAGTGATTTCCGATTTCAGGGACATACAGACATGTGACGATCCACATGTTTGGCTCAAAACTGCAATATTTTTGCACCTGGAAATCTCACGCTTTTTGCCTTCTATACCTATTGCTTCCACGTTTACAGGGAATGGCATCTGGCCACCCTCCTGTTTGCTGTGGAAGCTCCTGGGGTACAGGTACTGTCTGGACAGACTCCCTGTTTGCAAAAATATGTATTGCATACTTCCAATTCACATTGGGCACTTTCAGTATGCCTTCGACACTTTTAATGCACTTTGGATAATCCCATTGTGTCCCAGCACTTTCCATCAGATATCCTAAGCCTGGGCCCATTTCATTGGAAATACTGGAGTAAAGGAGAAGTTTTATGATACAACTGATCCCACATACAGAAAGATAGTAAACATGAGTAATTTGAGGTTAGCCCAGGGTTTTACTCCCATTTTGGCACGTTCAGTGATAACACGCTTCTGTTTCCCTTGCAGCTATGAATCTTTGGGCTTCTTTTTTCCCTGTTTGGCCAAAGGAACTTATCTATATAATGGACTAATGAGCTGTAAAATTGCAATTTAAAAATAAATCTTTTTTATTTTTACAGTATTACAATGCCCCAAAGAGAAAGAAAAAGAAATCCTAATATATTTGTAAGAGATTGTAGATAACTCAGAACCCAGCGTGACCAATGTCTCTGCCTGGAACCAGCTTTACTACAAGTGAAAAGCAAGAATCCATTTTAATCAGATATTTAAGTCTTTCTCTTATTCGTTCCTTCCATTTAATGCCTTCTCTGTCTTTTGTGTCAAGATTCATCATCCAGGGATCATGGGAAATGAAACTTGGAAGAGTACTTTGGAGCCTTTTGCTTTTTCCGCCATATATATCCAGAGCTTGGAAAGGATTTTTTTTTTTTAGGATGACGTAGTAAATTCTGATAGATGTCATCCAAAATAATAATGATTCTTTCTGAACTGTAATTACACTTTGAATCATCTTGCCCCTCTATTGTCAGATTTGCACATCCCTTTATGTCATTAAATGCCATTTTGCTAAATGTGTGTGAACTGACTCTGCTGGAAGTCTAGCTGTTTAATATGAACGTCCTTTTTCCTTGCGCTTTGATCTGGGATGAGCTGGTACAACATAGTCACAAAGAGACTGAACAAATCTGGAAGTTCCTGGCTCGGCTTTTGACTCTCCCTTAATCTCACTAGGCGGTCTCAGAAAACCCACAACTTTTAGCTGAACCATCCTACAAAAATATGGGAATGATGCTTGGAATAAGACAAAGCTGCCCATAATGCAGTTAGCAGGGCATAAAACTCACTTTTGTGATCTCTGAAGCTCCCAACCATTCATCAATGCTCTATATCACCATTTTTAAAAAAAACCAAAGGCACCATTTGGGAGCAATTATTTCCCCTAAATTCATGTCAGAAAACCCTCAAATATGTGAAAGCAGGCCAAATTGTACTTTGCCAGCCAATCCACTGGAATAAGGAGACAACACAACAGGTATCGGTTCAAATATGGGCAACTTTATTAACTGTTGCTGTACAGTCTTACTTATCCAAGATGTCAATGGGGATTAAGGGTTTTCTGGGCCTGTGTCTGATGTCAATGGGGATGAGGGTTTTTCTGGGACTGAGTCAAGGCCAGGCCTACTACTCTCCAAGGAAGCCTCTCGGGCGCTGGACAAGTGCCTGGCCGCTGTGGCTGACTGGATGAGGAGGAACAAGCTGCAGATTAATCCTGACAAGACAGAGGTCCTCCTGGTCGACTGTAAATCAGATCGAGGTATAGGGTGGCAACCAGTGATGGACGGGGTTACACTCCCCCTGAAGTCACATGTCCGCAGTTTGGTTGTCCTCCTGGACTCATCACTTATGCTTGAAGCTCAGGCGTCGGCAGTGGCCAGGAGGGCCTTTGCACAATTGAGACTCGTGCGCCAACTGCGACCATACCTCGTGAAGGCGGATCTGGCCAGGGTGGTCCATGCCATAGTCACCTCCAGATTGGACTACTGTAATGCACTCTATGTGGGGCTGCCCTTGAAAACAGCCCGGAAATTCCAGTTGGTTCAACGGGCAGTGGCCAGGTTGTTAACTGGTGCTCCTTACGGGGAGAGGTCAACCCTCCTGTTTAAGGAGCTCCGGGCCCAATTCAAGGTTCAGGTGCTTACCTACAAAGCCCTAAACGGTTTGGGACCCACCTACCTGCGTGACCGCATTTCCGTATACGAACCCACATGATCTCTTCGTTCATCTGGAGAGGCCCTGCTTACGATCCCACCTGCATCGCAAGTGCGATTGGTGGGAACAAGGGAAAGGGCCTTCTCGGTGGTGGCCCCACGACTCTGGAACTCCCTGTCCAAGGACATCAGGCATGCCCCAACATTGGCAGTCTTTAGAAGGAACTTGAAAACATGGATGTTCCAATGTGCCTTCCCAGATTAAGGAATCCCAAGCAATTTGTCCCAAATGCACTTTACGAGAGAGTTAGAATTGTCTGCACACCCACTTATCCCTAAAATATCCATCCTATTTCACCTGGACATGCCCAGCATTTTTAAAACATTTTAATCATTACATTTGGCCCTGCCACAGGTTTTTAAATGCGTCATGATATTTTTGTTATTGTTTTGCTTTGCTATGAGTTATTTATTGTTGCATTGTTGTTGTGTTTTTGTCTTTGATGTATTTGGGCTCGGCCTCTTATAAGCCGCACCAAGTCCTGTGGGAGATGGTAGCGGGGTATAAATAAAGGATTATTATTATTATTATTATTATTATTATTATTATTATTATTATTATTATTATGAGAGGCCCCAGGTGTCTCATGAACTGAGTACTTCTCCTGCAGATTCACACGGTCAAATTCCTGGGAGAGGCCCACAGCAGTCTTTCTCTGAGAAACTGTCTTTGGAGAATAATTTGTCAGGTGCCGAATTTAATGAGGGTAAAGATAGAAAGCAAGACTTTTGTAAACTGAGACAAGAATTCTCAAGATCAGTGAAGGTCAATCTGTTTGCTTGTAAAGAAAGATAAGAAATCCTTATCTGGTTGTGAGGGCAAGCGGAATGCTTTCCTTTCAGTTCTTGGGCCATGAAAAGCTTTATATTGATAAAAAGGAAAGGTGTTATTGCAAGTCTCATCAACGTTGGAATTTCATGACAGTCTTGTTTCCAAGTGAGTTTCTAGTTTCATGTTCCAAGTTTTGCCAGGTTCCTATTTCATGTATTGGATTCCCATGCTATCTTGTTCTCTGGATTTTGCATCCTTGTATCTTGTGTTTGTACCTTGAAGTTCATGGACTATCTTGTATCTTTGGACTATACTGTTTCTGCCATTTTTACTGCTTTGCTTATATACAGTAGAATCTCACTTATCCAACCTTTGCTCATCCAACATTCTGTACTGCCTCCCCCCCGCCCCAATCCATAGCTGTTTCAATACATTGCAATGTTTTGGTGCTAAATTCATAAATACAGTCATTTCTACATAATTTTACCATCTATTGAACTGCGTTTTCTGTCAATTTGTTGTAAAACATGATGTTTTGGTGCTTAATTAGTAAAATCAAAACATTATTTGACGTTTAATAGGCTTTTCCTTAATTCCTCCTTATTATCCAACATTTTCGCTTATCCAACGTTCTGTCAGCCTGTTTGTGATGGATAAGTGAGACTCTACTGTATATCTTTCAATAAACTGCTTGCTGATTTTACTATGCTGGTGTGGTGTTTAAGGATAGAGGCATTCCTGCTCTGGGATACAACACTATCACCTTTTTAAAATGAAAAAGATAATCATCAAAGTCATGGGTGTGTTAATGAGCTATGACATATAGTATCTTTGTCAATATCCAAAATGGACCTTTTCTGTGATTGGCTTCTTCTGACCATCTTCCCAAGCAAATAACTTTGATCTTGTGCCTCCCTCCTGTATTTGTGCCACCCCACAGGTGTCTTCTTCACCTTCCACACCTTTCATCTGGAGAGCGGCCATGACTACTTGTTGATCACCGAGAACGGCAGCTTCAGCCAACCTCTGAAACAACTCACCGGCTCCCGCTTGCCTGCCCCTTTCAGTGCCGGCCTCTATGGGAACTTCTCTGCTCAGATCCGTTTCATTTCCGACTTCTCCATTTCATACGAGGGCTTCAACATCACCTTTTCAGGTAGGCATCAGAACCTCAAAGGAATCTTTCAATATGAGCCACTTGCCTGTCTCCAGCCCCTACATCTGAGCATGGGCACAAGACTGCCTTTGGGAGGAGAGGGTGCCAGATAGTTTAAGTCCTGCCAACATTTGCTTCAGAAAATGCAGAACTGGGTCTTAAGGCTTGGATGCAATGATACTGAGCCCTCTTTATCTCATCCAGAGTTCAGAGCCTGCTGTTCTCTGATAATGACTTCCAAGCTGTGCTAAAATGTGTCTTTCTTTAAGGAACAGAGCAGCTGTAGGGATGATAGGTTTTTCCAGCAAATGCGTCAGAAATTGTTTCAAAAAGGGGTGCTTTGTCCAGAATGGATAGATACTGTTTCATGGAAAATCCAGGCAGAATTTGCCCAGCAGCTCTCACTATTGTCAATGTCGGCTGCAGCTGCTAAGAACTGCAATTCAACCAGATCTGGAGGGCTGTCTGATACCTATTCTTTTCTATATACAGGCAGTCCCCAAGTTACAAACATCCAACTTACATCTGACTCATAGTTAAGAACTGGGGTGTGAGACAACAGGAAGTGAAAGAAATCTACTCCTCGGAAGGGAAAATCACTACTAAAAGAGTTATTATGGGGAAAAGGAGTCTCCTCTGAAGCTTTATCACAAAACCTTGTTTCCACAACAAGCCACATTTCTCAAAATCCAATAATCACAGGGACAGAAAGTGAGGTGAGATCTTCTGAACAGGGGCACAGATAGCAAAACAAACACCACAAAGGTGGTAACCCTTCCCTGTGCTATCCAAGCATGCATGTATGCATGAATATATATATATCGATATAAATAAAAAATGTAATGTTCATTTGTGAGATTACCAGAACTCAATAACCACTGGACGAATTGACACCAAATTTGGCAGCAAAACACATTCTAATCTGATCTGCGAGATTTTAATGGTTCTGGAGGGAGGGAGGAGCACCTTCCATTAATGAAACAAAGGAAGCGATTCGTATTTCCTGGTATTTCCGATCTTTTTTTAAAGAAAATATCAGAAATAATTTCAAAATCGAGCCACCAGCTATATATGAAACGAGTTTAGAACCATTTTTTTTCTTGATCAACCAAGCCTACTGTTTGGCACAAGTCTGCCCACACGAAGCAGGTGAATATAGCACTAAACAAAACATGCTGAATAATCACAGGATGTCTCAAACCTGCAGCTGTTGATAGACTCTACAAGCTAGCTGGCATCCCCCCCCCCCCCCCCCGCCGGTGCGCAATGGGAAGTTGCTGCTAACTGTTAGAGAAATAAGTTTGAACACTGTAAAAGTCATCCCTGGCTATCAACCTCCTTCCAGTAGACTCAAGTCAAGGAAAAGCTTCATGAGAACCACCACTCCTCTTAACATTTCCCCAGTAACAGCAAGAGTATCCCTCTGGGAAGCTAAACCAAGAAATCCCAATTGGATGCCCCCCCCCCCCCCCCATGAGAGTCTTTCTTCAGGGGCAAACTAAGAATGGGCAACTTGGAAGTCCCTGAACAGGCTCAGAAGTTGAGTAGGCAGATCAGAAGACCACCTGGCAAAATGGCACTACCTAGTCCTAGAATCCTCCACCTTGTGCAACTGTGGAGCAGAACAAACTCCGCATCTGTATGCTTGTCCACAATGTCCTGCCTTATGTACAGAGGAAGAATTGTTTCAAGCTGCAGACAGTGCGGTCGCTGTTGCCCATTCTTGGTCAAAAAATATTTAACCGCTTGTGCTTCTTCTATTTTTATCAGTTTTATACTTGTTTATGCAATCCTTTTGATACGAAATAAATAAATAAGTAAAACTTACAAATACATTCAGTTAAACAACAAACATATAGAGCAGTGGTTCTCAACCTGTGGGTCCCCAGGTGTTTTGGCCAACGACTCCCAGAAATCCCAGCCAGTTTACCAGCTGTTAGGATTTCTGGGAGTTGAATGCCAAAACATCTGGGGACCCACAGGTTGAGAACCACTGCTATAGAACCTATCTTGGGGACTGCCTTATATAAAGGACTTCATTAAAAATCAGTTGCAACACTAGTCTGTCCCATGTGAACAAATGCTATGTAGACACAGGTCTATGCTGCCTTTAATTAAGAGCTTCCTCCTTGCCCTTTTTTTTCAAACAGTAGGCTCTACTGCACCTATAATTAACTACTTCCAGTTCATTTGTTCAATTGCATTCCCATTGGTTCTTAACTACTACTGTTCCTTGTGGGTGTATATGTGTATATTGGATATGTTTCATCTCTGCAACCAGAACAACTGGTCCTTATTTTAATTCACTTGCTATGATCACGGTTTGTGGTAGTTACTAGATTTCCGAGGACATGGATAAAGACAGGTATGAGAAAGGGAGTGTTCAGCCACCTCCTGAATGGTTTGTGGATGCCATGACCTCTTGGTTCTCTCTGTCAGAATATGACCTAGAACCTTGTGATGAGCCCGAGGTGCCCACCTACAGCATCCGCAAGGGCCTACAGTTTGGCGTGGGAGATGTCTTGACCTTCTCATGTTTCCCTGGGTATCGGCTGGAGGGCGTCTCGCGCATCACCTGCCTGGGAGGGAGACGGCGTGTGTGGAGTTCGCCTCTGCCAAGGTGTGTTGGTAGGTGGTCACGTGCTTTAATTTTGCTTGGGCAATCTACCATGTTGGGAACCAGAGCTGTTAGGCTCAAAAAAACAACCCTCACTTGGGGTGATTCCACCATAAATATAGCAGAATGCTAGAAGCAGACTTCATAATTTATTATTTATTATTATTATTTATTTACAGCTTTTATATTCCACCCTTCTCACCCCGCAGGGGACTCAGGGCGGATTACAGTGTACACATATATGGCAAACATTCAATGCCAATTTTGTCATACAACATATACAGACATAGACAGAGGCTATTAACTTTTTCTGGCCGCCAGGGGAGCTGTCGCTTTCATCGTCCATCTGCAACACTGATGAAGTACTTCCGCATTCCCCGCATTCTTTTTGCTGGAGTGCTTGCCGAGAGTCCTTTTTTATGGCCTCATAAATTAGTTAATTTAAGCCTCCCCACACTTTAAGGTGGTACCTAATTTTCCTACTTGACAGATGCAACTGTCTTTCAGGTTGCAAAGGTCGACAACAGGTTGGAAACCCACTCCAAACCGGGCTGGCTTCGAACTCATGACCTTTTGGTCAGAGTGATCTTAATGCAGCTGACACTCAGCCAGCTGCGCCACAAACTAACGTGTGGTGCGTCAGGATTAGCTTCCATTCAACAGGATGGTACACGATTGCAGAAAGAGAACTTTAGGTTCAAAATATTTATTGAAGTAAAAAGAAATCCATTCTAGATAGAAAAAGTCTTGGAGCTAACTAGCTTACTAAGCTCATTTAAGCAAGGTAAAAGGATAAAATATCAAAAGTATCCATGCAGCTACATTTTGCCTGGAGAAAGGCAAAATGCATCCTTACCGAAAAGGAGACAAAAGCAGAGAGAAGGCAATGGAGAATCACTACATGGCCAAGCCAGGGCAATAAAAACACCTTTAAAGAGAAGGTTACTTCATTCCTCACAGAGATTCCATTGCTACATCTTCAAAAGGGGAGAAGATAGTGGCAAGCAACAAATCCCCTTCTGGGAAAAGAATACATAGGAATGTGGGGAAAGGAATCCCTCACTCTAATCCTATATCTAAGTCTAGCTACTCATTGAGGACTGGAGACTTGTGCAGTCTAGGGATGAAACCCAACATACCATATCGTAATGTGACATGGGCAAAGAGCTGGCCATCTGTGGGGTTGAGAGTTTTACTCTCACTGTTGCCTCAGAAAGAAGCAAAGAAGAATAGCAGTGACTGACAGAGTCTGCCTTGGATGCAAACATGTCTCCCAAACAATAGGGGTAAAAAAAAAAAGACCAAAAGAAAAGTTGGCCGTTTAAGATAAGTAGCTAAATATAGCACTTTCTAGAATTCTGTTTGTGATATGCGCTTAGAAGTTACACGTGCATTTGTTTCATTTGGGGCAGTCATTCTTTGAGCTTTGTCTAACCTCCCCACCAACAGCCCCTTTGTTTTTCTTCCTCTCTCTTTTTGGATAACTGCAGAAGGGATAGGAAAGAGTTCCTGCAGCTTGGTTGCCTCCTTCCCTGCCATATTCCATCTCCTCTAGTTGAGCCTTGGAGGCATTACCCTTCACCTTGGGCATATGATTCACCGTCTTGCCATGTCTGGGGTTCGTGGTCAGGCCCTTAATTGGTTCAACTCATTTCTCCGGAACTGGAGTTAACGCGTGGAGTACATGGATCAAGTCTCTGATAGATTCCCCCCTCCTATGTGGGGTCACCCAAGGTGCAATTCTTTCTCCTCTTCGCTTCAACATCTACGTTAGACCCCTTGCTAGTTTGGCTCGGAGTTTCGGCCTGGACTGCTACCAATATGCGGACGATACCCAACTCCTTCTGCACCTGGAGCCTGGAGCAACATCAATTCTAGACAATTTCACCCTATGTCTGGAAGCTCTGTCGAACTGGCTACGTGCTAGCAGACTGAAGGTGAACCCAGCGAAGACTGAGATTCTATGGCATGCCCACCCGGCAGGTCTGACTCATCCGTTACCCACCTTCGATGGTGCCGCCCTATCTCCATCGACCACTGTTAAGAGCTTAGGTGTCGTCCTGGATTCGCAGCTGACAATGGAAGCTTACTTCACTGCTGCCAGCAAACAGGCCTTTTTCCATCTACGACAAGCGAGGCAACTGGCACCCTACCTATCTGACGAGGCTCTGGCAACTGTCATCCATGCCACGGTCACGTCTAGGCTGGACTATTGCAACGCCCTGTATGTTGGCCTTCCGATGTCTACGACACGAAAGCTCCGTATTGTTCAGAATGTGGCAGCCAGGTTACTCAGAAGAACGCCCATGAAATGCCATATAACACCAGTGCTGCAACATTTACATTGGCTTCCAACTGAGTACTGTGGCCTGTATAAGATGTTAGTTCTGACCTTTAAAATTCTTTACGGCCAGGGTCCATCGTACCTCTCCATCCCCCAATCATCGGAGGTCGCAACGACCAGCCCAATGCGACTTACTCTAGATACCGGGTCCTAGAGAAGTGCACTTGGAAAGAACCAGACGCAGGGCTTTTTCTATTTCTGCCCCTGCCTTATGGAATTCCTTGCCGCCCTATATGAGAGCCATGTGTGACTTAGGGCCTTTTACTCTAGTACTTAAGACCTGGCTTTTTACTAGAGCATTCGATCTCTGTTAATTTTTAAATTCTGTATGTATGTATTTTATCTTTTACAATTTAGCTGTAAATCGCCTAGAGCATTCTCGAATGGAGGGCGATTAATAAGTAATTAAATAAAAATATATATGTTGGCAACCATTGGAGGAAAAAGAATTCCAAAACTCAAGATGCAATGAATGATACTCTGCAAGGGAATAGACTCTGTATCTCTCCCAAAAATAATATACAAATACATAGGCTGTACTTACACATGTGTAAGTCACTGACAGGATGTAGGCACTATATTTTAACTTGAATTTTAAAGCAACTACTGAACACACTGAGCCTTATGCCTGTGGTAGGTTCAGCACTTTGGATTGTGCCTCTTTGAAATCCAAACTTGACTCCTCATGGGCGTTGAAATCACCAGCTGCCACTTTGAAAATCCAAAAAGATTTTTTTTTCATGTCAGGAGTGACTCGAGAAACTGCAAGTCACTTCTGATGTGAGAGAATAGGCCATCTGCAAGGACATTGCCTGGATGTTTTTACCATCCTTGTGGGAGGCTTCTCTCATATCTCCACATGAGAAATTAGAGCCGACAGACAGGAGCTCATCCTGCATGAGTTGGATATGTTATTTGGTGTTCACAATCACTCAACTGAGCTTCAAGCCAACCAAAAATTCCATGAAATGGCCATTGTTTGTCCTGATTTTGGCCATGGCTTGAAGGTGTTTATGCTAGTAGCCTATCATTGAAACTCCAGAAGCACCAAAGTGAGCACTTCCATCTCTGTGTATAGATTTAAGGGCTGGGTCCTATTGGTGGTCTCAGAGAGTGGAAGGCCACTAGATGAATTAATGAATCATGAGTCAACACTGCAATACATCTAATTAATTAAATATGAACCTGCTCTTGTTGGGAATATCAATTGGATTCAGGCCTAGGGATATAAATCATTTCCACTATTTTGCTTTGCTGGATGAGACAAGACTTTTGGGGACTTCGGGATGAAAATTTAATTTGGGCAAAAACCATTTTTGCAAATGCTTTTTTTGTGTGATGAAAACATTGGCTGATATTCAGTACTGCAGTGAAGAATTTGTAGCCTCCAGTTGTAGATTTGTAATGGCTCTGTATTCACTCATCCTGTGTAGCCAAAGCCCACCTTAATAGCCGGCAGCTCCCAGCCCATTGTAACAGCCACCTCATTGGGAATGTAGGTTCTGGTAATCAAGGAGGATGATTCTTTTGACAGCAAGCAAAGTTGCAAATATCAGAAGCAGAAGCCCTGTCACAAGTCTTTGAAGCAGCTTTGTTTGCTGGCAAGAGTGGAGCATAAAGATCCTCCAATGGTCCCATTTGGCAAATGCGCAACCTCTTTCCCTTGATCTGGAGGTTGGCTCTTAAGGTAGATTGGGGTGCATGGGACAGGAGACGTTACTTGGTTATGTCAACTAAGTAGCCAATCCACAATTCCAGCAATTGTATTTTGAGTAAAAGAAAACTTTAAGACAGTGTTTCTCAACTTTCCTAATGCCACGACCCCTTAATACAGTTCCTCATGTTGTGGTGACCCCCAACCATAAATTTATTTTCATTGCTACTTCATAACTGTAATTTTACTACTGTTATGAATCGTAATGTAAATATCTGCTATGCAGGATGTATTTGCATTCACTGGACCAAATTTAGCACAAATACCCGATATGCCCAAATTTGAATACTGGTGAGGTGGGGGGGTGTGTGATTTTGTCATTTGGGAGTTGTAATTGCTGGGATTTATAGTCAACCCAAAATTAAAGAGCCTCTCTGAGTACCCCCTCCGGGGGTTGAGAAGGGTGAAGTAGAAATCTATATAAATAAAAATGTAATGTTAGTTTGTGGGATTAACATAACTCAAAAACCACTGGACGAATTGACACCAAATTTGGACACAATACACTTATCAAAGAGTGACCATGTCTCATAAAAACACTGAAAAACAAAGCAGAAGATATTTAAAATCCAAAAAATAAAAAATACATTAAAATGCATGTGCAAAACCACATATATATACGCAAACACACATGTATACACATAGACACATATATATATACACACATACACACACACAAACACATATACACAGACTGGGCCACAGCAACGCGTGGCAGGGACGGCTGGCGCAGCTGGCTGAGTGATTGTGGCGCAGCTGGCAGGATTGTGGTGCAGGATTGTGGCGCAGCGGGATTGTGGCGCAGCTGGCTGAGTGTCAGCTGCATTAAGATCACTCTGACCAAAAGGTTATGAGTTCGAAGCCAGCCCGGGTTGGAGTGGGTTTCCAACCAATTGTGTAGCCCTTTGTCGACCTTTGCAACCCGAAAGACAGCTGCATCTGTCAAGTAGGAAAATAAGGGACCACCTTAAAGTGTGGGGAGGCTAAATTAACTGATTTATGAGGCCATAAAGACTTCAGCAAAAAGCATGCGGGGAATGCGGAAGTACTTCATCAGTGTCGCAGATGGATGATGAAAGCAACAGCTCCCCTGGCGGCCAGCAAAAAGTTAAATAGCCTCTGTCTGTCTGTATATGTTGTATGTCAAAATTGGCATTGAATGTTTGCCATATATGTGTACACTGCAATCCGCCCTGAGTCCCCTGTGGGGTGAGAAGGGCGGAATATAAAAGCTGTAAATAAATAAATAAATAAATAATAGTGTTGTAAATAAATAATAAACTCCACCAATGATGGAATTGAGCCAGCTTTGATACACAGAACTCCCATGACCAACAGAAAATACTGGAAGAGTTTGGTGGGTGTTGACCTTGAGTTTTGGAGTTGTAGTTCACCTACATATAGAGAGCACTGTAGATCTGGATGAAACTTGGCACAAATACTCAATATGCCCAAATGTGAACACTGGTAGAGTTTGGGGAAAATAGACCTTGACCATCTTTTTTCAAAGGTTTATAGGAGAGCACTGTGAACCCAAATGACTATAGATCTGGACCAAATTTGGCACAAATACCCAATACGCCCAGATTTAAATACTGGTGGGATTGGGAGGGATTGATTTTGTCATTTGGGAGTTGTAGTTGCTGCCTAAGGGGTTCCTAAGACCATCAGAAATATGTGTTTTCTGATGGTCTTTGGTGACCCCTCTGAACCCCTCCCCCTCGCGACCCCCACATTGAGAAACTCTGCTTTAAGGTGACATGTTGTATGTACAAAAATACCATTTGGGTGAGGCATTATACAAAACCAACCCCGAAAAGAGAGAAAAGTATACTAGTCTTTTTGGTCTTGCTCAAGAGCAAAAAAACAAAACAAAACTCATAGCCATTGGCAATGACCCTTTCTCTTTCTACATTCACAATGCAAGTCATTACAGATGTGTTTGTGTGCATTTAAGCAGAGAGAGATGATAAACTGAAGTCTACACCTGCATTCTTTTAAACAAAATTCATCAGCATGACCTGTGAATGTTAAAATTTAATCACTCTGCCTCTCTCTCTAGCTGAATGTGGCTCTTCTGTAACCGGGACACAAGGAGTCCTCTTGTCCCCAAACTATCCGCTCAACTACAACAACAATCACGAATGTATCTACTCCATCCAGACGCAGCCGGGAAAAGGAATTCAGCTCAAAGCCAGGGCTTTCAACCTGGAGGCCGGGGATGTCCTCAAGGTAATGACTCATCCGCTGATGGTAGCGAAGAGGCTTATGGTGAGGCTAGAATAAACAGCATGGCTGGAAATCAGCTCCCTTCCAAATTGCTTAATCCCAAACAGAATTTGCAGGCTTGCCAAGCAGAAAAGCACAATCACGGAGCAGTTCATCAGTTGTAAATAGAGGTTGGCAGTCAAGCTTCCTTTACACTTGATGGGGGAGAAATGCTCTCAAAAGATTGCTGTCCAGAGGTATTGTTGTTGTTTTAATTAAACGCCAGTGGGAATGTAGACAGAGCAGGCACTGAGGAGAAAACACCCACCTCTTAAAAAGATAACATTGTGGGTGATTGGTCTGAATTTCTGGCTGAGATTCTGCTCACGGCTGGCGAAGCATAAAGCTCCCACCGACATATCTATGGCAGCCAAAATGGAGGTGATGGGCTCCCTGCCATCCAGTAGCCATTCTGTGCATGGACACAATGGTGGGATTGTGTTCATGCACCATTGCTGTGTAGGTGAATGGCAAAACCAATACATAAAAAACACTGCATAACACCTAAACTCTACAACTGGGAGTTGTATTGGCATAGCAACCCCAAGCCCTAGTGTTTTGTAGGAAAGGAGCAATGGAACAAAGCAACCCTAACTCTTAGCTGTAGGGGGCTGGGATGAGGCAAAAGGCTCATCTGGCAGGAGAAATGCTCTTTTGCCCGCAGAATCGTATTCTGTCAGCTGATCTCAAATATACTATCCAAGATCTCGCAGGTGAAATTGCTTAGACAATCCCTCATGATGGTCCTCCAAGGGCAGTGTCTTGGTGGTAAGTTTGCAGGTGACTGTGGAGCCCTATTATTGATCCACATGTTCTCCCACAGTGAGGACATTGTTTTCCAAGTGAAAGGCGGTCCTAGTCAGGGTTGGCTTGATGCACGTTTCTCCTTTCCGCCCTCCAGTCATGCCTCTTCAAATTCTGCACCACTGTTGGTCACAGCTGACCTCGTTAGAGCGCTCAAGGGCCAGAACTTCCCAGGTCTCAGTGTCTATGCCACAATTTTTAAGGCTGGCTTTGAGCCCATTTTTAAATCTCTTTTCCTGTCCACCAACATTACATTTCCTGTTCAGAGTAGAGTAACTGCTTTGGGAGATGGTGAACGGGCATTTGGACAACGTGGCTAGTCCAGCAGAGTTGATGGCATAGGAGCATTGCTTCAATGCTGATGGCCTTTGCTTCTTCCAGCACACTGATATTTATCCGCCTGCATTCCCAAGAGATTTGCAGCATTTTTCAAAGGCAACTGTTCCAGGAGTTGAATGTGACGTCTGTAGACAGTCCATGTTTCACAGGCATATAGCAGGGTTGGGAGGACAATAGCTTTATAAACAAGCACTTTGGTATTTCTACAGATGTCCCGTAGACATGTGTAGAACATGTGTGGCCAAGCAAGGACATGTGTGGCCAAGCAAGATCAGAATGTGGCCAAGATAACAAAGGGTTGTCAAAGAACAATTACAGTTGTTTGTTTTTGCCAGTCTACTAGGAAGGACAAGATTCCCTCTCATCCATTGAATGTCCAAACTATTTTTGGACTTTGAACTAAATTTGCAACTACTGAGAACAGTTGAGGAGAGTGGGAAAGAGAGGGAGGTAGTGGGAAGAAAGAAGGAAAGAAGGAAAGAAGGAAAGAAGGAAAGAAGGAAGGAAGGAAGGAAGGAAGGAAGGAAGGAAGGAAGGAAGGAAGGAAGGGTTTAAAGTCACTGAAAAAATAGATGGCAGAAGATGTATCATGACTGTCCCTCCAAAATTGGAGGTTATGTGATTCTTGGTCATGGCCTTACCTTGACTGATCTTCAGTAGAACACTCCAGTGGCCACTGAAAAATGATAGTCATACAAACAAAATAAATGAAATTATCCCTTGTTGCATGCAGTCATAACTTAGTGTTATTATGTCTTAGGGCTTGTCTATATGTGCCCGTAAAGAAGAGGCTAATCAAGTAGGGATGAAACCGGTCCATCCCTACTGGATAGTCACCTTAGCTTGGATCATTGGGCACCTTTCTTACATCAGCAAAGGCATTTATGTGACCAGGGTAAAGGAAGGAGTGATAATGATTTTATCCCACACTATAGGTTGAAAGTCCTAAGCTCATCACTCCTTTCCACCTGCTACTAAGGAGGCTGTTCAGGTCCTGAACCGGTGCTTGGCAGCTGTGATGGTCTGGATAAGGGCAAACAAATTGAAATTGAATCCAGGCAAGACAGAGGTCCTCCTGGTCAGTCGCAAGGCCAAACAGATAACAAACAGGGTATAGGTTTACACAGCCTGTGCTGGATGGGGTTACATTTCCACTGAAGACACAGGTTTGCAGCTCGGGAGTGATTCTGGACTCATCACTGAGCATGGAACATCAGGTTTTGGCAGTAGCCAGGGGATCATTCGCACAATTAAAACTTAAGTGCTAGCTGTGCCTATAACTTGGGAATTCAGACTTGGCCAAGGTGGTCCATGCTCTTCTTATATCCTGAATTGACTCCTGCAGTGCTGTCTACATGGGGTCGCCCTTGAAGACTGTTTGGAATCTTCAATTGATCCAAAGGGCAGCAGCCAGATTGCTCACCAGGGCAGCGTACAGGGAGCATACCACTCCCCTGTTACATCAACATTGGCTGCCAGTCTGCTACTGAGCACAATTCGAAATGCTGGCTTTAAGCTATAGAGCCCTAAACAGTTATGGCCCAGCTTACCTGTCTGAACATATCTCCTATGAACCATGTAAGAGGTCAAGATTGTCTGGGGAGGTCCTGCTCTCAGTCCCACCTCCTTCGCAGTCATGGTAGGTGGGAACGAGAGACAGGGCCTCAGTAGTGGCTCCTCAGCTGTGGAACGTCCTCCCCAGTGATATTCGATCAGCTCCTTCCCTCCTTGCCTTCAGAAAGAAAGTTAAAACATGGCTATGTGACCAAACTGCAGTGCAATAAGTGAATGTATAATCTGTTCAACGACAACTGGATTGGCTCTGGACTACGACCTTGGACGACACGATTTTAATGTGATGTAATTGTTTATGTATTGATTCTGTGTTTTTAATGTAAATGTTTATCTAATTGTATGTTTTATGGCATAGATTTATTGCCGATGTTTAAAGGCGCTCTGAATCCCCCTCAGAGCGCCTTTAAATAAGCCATCATGTGGACATCCAGGTTGAATAACTGGTTGAATTTGGGTAGACAAGGCCTGAGTTATTGGAAGAAAGCAGTTTAATCACAAGGATCTCCTTATTTGTAATAAGCAAGTTACAGACTCTAAGATATGTCAGCAAGGAAGACAGGAAAGGAGTCTATATCACCCAGAGATGAACTTGGGGGGTGGGCAAGTCCAGCACTGGGTAAGGCTGGATGGAAAAGTGCCCCTTTCATTTGCATTGCCTCCTCTCTTTTTCAGATTTACGATGGCAACAATAACTCAGCCCGTCTCCTGGGCTCCTTCAGCCGAAAAGAGATGCTGGGGATCAGCGTCAACAGCACCTCCAGCACCATGTGGCTTGACTTCATCACTGATGGCAACAACACAAGTCAAGGCTTTGAACTGCAGTTTTCTAGTAAGTACAGACTGTAGGCAGAAGAACAGGAGGCTTCCTTTCAGCAGTGCCCACAGCGGTGACTCTTACTATGTTATACAGAGTGGTTGAGAAATAACAACGAAGCTAAGTTCATTGTGTGTCTTCAAAACACTTTCAGATCATGGTGATCCTAAGATGGATCTATCATGGTTTTTCTTGACAAAATTTGCTCTGAGAAGTTACCTTTGCCTTCCCCTGAGGTTGAGAGAATGTGACTTACCCAAGGCCATCAAGTTGGTTTCCATGGTTGAGTAAGGATTCAAACCCTGGTCCCCAGAGCCAATGTCCAAGCTACTACGCCATGCTGTTACTGAAATAAAATAGCTAGAGGAAAGGTAAAGCCCAACTTTTGTAGAAAGCTTCATTTATGTACCTACTTTCTTACCTTTCTATTTATTATCTCTTAGCATCCTAGACTCCTTGAGGCTAAATGTAACTCAGGTTCTCAACTTTCCTAATGCCGCGACCCCTTAACATAGTTCCTCATGTTGTGGTGATCCCCAACCATAAAATTATTTTCATTGCTACTTTATAACTGTAATTTTTCTACTGTTGTGAATTATAATGTAAATATCTGACATGCAGGATGTATTTTCATTCACTGGACCGAATGTGGCACAAATACCCAATACGCCCAAATTTAAATATTGGTGGGATTGGAGGGGGGGTTGATTTTGTCATTTGGGAGTTGTAGTTACTGGGATTTATAGTTAACCTTCAATCAAAAAGCATTCTGATATCCTGTCAGGTTCCGCTGGATCTTAGAATAAATCTCGCACTCACAAGTAGTTTACTCGGATTTGGAGTTTATTTCAGTCCATACAGAACAAAGTCAAAGAGAGAACTGAGGTTTCCCACCAAGAGTCTCCAGATCCCCCCTCCTGGCTTCGCCCCCTCCTTCTCCCCCTTGCTTATCAAAGTTTAGACTAAGATTCCTTTTCCCACAGCTTCAAAGCGAATACTATGCCCCAGATGGCCCTGCAATAAACCCATCTATCATGATTACTCCCTCTAGTGTCAGGAAGAAGACTTCTTGGTATCTCGAACATGAAGGCACATCCTGACATATCCACCAAGGATGGATTTATTTATTTATTTATTTACAGCTTTTATATTCCGCCCTTCTCACCCCGCAGGGGACTCAGGGTGGATTACAGTGTACACATATATGGCAAACATTCAATGCCAATTTTTGACATACAAACATATACGGACATACACAGAGGCTATTTAGCTTTTTCTGGCCGCCAGGGGAGCTGTTGCTTTCATCGTCCATCTGCGATGTTGATGAAGCACTTCCGCATTCCCTGCATGCTTCCCGCTGGAATGCTTTGCTGGAGTCTTCTTTATGGCCTCATAAATCAGTTAATTTAGCCTCCCCACACTTTAAGGTGGCACCTAATTTTCCTACTTGACAGATGCAACTGTCTTTTGGGTTGCAAAGGTCGACAACAGACTATACACAATTGGTTGGAAACCCACTCCAACCCGGGCTGGCTTCAAACTCATGACCTTTTGGTCAGAGTGATCTTAATGCAGCTGACACTCAGCCAGCTGCGCCACAATCCCGGAATTGAACCAAACTAGGCACACAAAACTCCCATAACCAACAGAAACTAATTGAAGGGTTCAGTGGGCTTTGATCTTGAATTCGGAGCTGTAGTTCACCTACACCCAGAGAGCACAGTGGACTCAAACAATGATGGATCTGGACCAAACTTGGCATGAATACTCAATATGCTCAAATGTGAACACTGGTGGAGTTTGGGGAAAATAGACCTTGACATTTGGGAGTTGTAGTTGCTAGGATTTATAGTTCACTTACAATCAAAGAGCATTCTGAACCTCACCAATGATATAAATGTGCCAAACTTCCCACACAGAGCCCCCACGACCAACAGAAAATACTGTGTTTTCTGATGGTTTTTGGCGGCCCCTCTGACACCCCCGTGTGACTCACCCAGGGGTCCTGACCCCCCCACCCCAGGTTGAGAAATACTGATGTAGCAGATTAAAACGATTCAAATAAAAATCAATCTTTTTTAAAGGTTTAAAAATACACACCATCAAAACAGCACCAAAGGGGAAAAAAAATAAAACCTTGCAGATTCCATTGTTTGCCTTTCTGTGTAGCAACACATTTCTGTGTATTCAGTCTGGTTCATCTATACTTACTTGAAGATTATCTATAGCTTTATTCCAACATTGGTAAACCCATTTGGCTCATCCTTTTCTCGTGATTGTTATTGGTAATGTGTAGTGTGACAACAAAAGTGAGGTTGTTTAGAAATGTTCTTTTCTTTCTTTTTTTTTTTTTTTGCACAATTTTCAGGTTAAAAATGACTAGAATACTGAAGCAGGTTTTTTTTCCAAAACAGTTTGAGAGGGGCGGGTATAGGCAGTGGCACTTTGGGAAATTGGAAGAGGGTTGTTGTAGGTTTTTCAGGCTATATGGCCATGTTCTAGAGGCATTCTCTCCTGACGTTTCGCCTGCATCTATGGCAAGCATCCTCAGAGGTAGTGAGGTCTGTTGGAACTAGGAAAAAGGGTTTATATATCTGTGGAATGACCAGGGTGGGACAAAGGACTCTTGCCTGCTGGAGCTAGGTGTGAATGTTTCAACTGAAAAATCGGGTCCAGGGCCTTCATGCACTAAGCATCAAAAGAATTAAATAACAAAGGAGCCTAACCAGTTTTACTCTGAATTAGCTTGCCACTGTATTGAATCCTATTCCCCAAATAGTTTCAGTACCACAGGTAGCTCCTGTGAACTTGAAGAGTGGCTCCCAGTCTTTGGGTCTCCAGATATTTGGGACTTCAATTCCCAGAAGCCCCAGCCAGCTTGGTCAACTGTCAGGAATTCCAGGAGCTAAAGTCCTGGAGGACCAAAGACTGGAAAATGCTGGTTTAAAGTCCTCAACCAAACTGACATGGAATCTAATAACTATTGCCTAGAATGTAAAGGAGCCCCCGGTGGCATAGCAGGTTAAACCGCTGAGCTGCAGAACTTGCTGACCAAAATATTGGAGGTTCAACTCTGGGGAGCGGGGTAAGCTGCCGCTGTTAGACCCAACTTCTGCCAACCTAGCAGTTCAAAACCATGCAAATGTGAGTAGATCAGTAGGTACCGCTTCTGCAGGAAGATAACAGTGCTCAGGGCGGCTACATGGCCTAGGAGGTGTCTACGGACAACGCCGGCTCTTCGGCTTAGAAATGGAGATGAGCACCAATCCCCAGAGTCGGACACGACTAGACTTAATGTCAGGGGGAAACCTTTAACTTTACCGGCCCTTTTTGAAAATAAATGGCTAAATAATGAATTAGTTGTGCATTCAGAATTGAAAAATGTGAGTTTGCTCCTTCGTAGGCTGTTCAATCTTTTATAACAGTGTCTTCTCTCTCTTGAGACCTAGAAGATCAGGTGTGAGAGTGTAGGTTAAATTGGTCAAACAATGTGGCTCTATGTTAAGCCAGTTAATAGGTCAAATTTTAAATCATGAGCCCTTAGTTGCCAACCTATGGACTTGGCCTTATACAAATACTTTGCTTAGATGGGCTCAGTTATAAGGATCCTATGTGTTTGTGCTTATTGTAATTTTATATTGTTTTGTATTCACATGTTTTATGTAATTATGATGATGTTGTATATCGTTCGCGTTTTCGGTTTGTGTTTTTGGTTTTTCTTTATTGTAATTGTTGTTTGGGCTTGGCCTCATGTAAGCCGCTCCGAGTCCCCATAGGGGAGATGGTGGCGGGGTATAAATAACGTTTATTATTATATTATTACATTTTCCAAAAATAGGGCATGACTGCCTGGAAATCTAACCAGAAAGTGTTGAGACTCATCATTCTGGCACCATACCTACTACTAGTAGTAGGAGAAGAAGAAGGAGTGATGCAGAAGCAGAGGAAAGCTTTACCACCTGATGCATCCACTTTGGTTGCATCTTTTATATCAGTGGTTCTCAACCTGTGGGTCTCCAGATGTTTTGGCCTACAACTCCCAGAAATCCCAGCCGGTTTACCAGCTGTTGGGATTTCTGGGAGTTGAAGGCCAAAATATCTGGGGACCCACAGGTTGAGAACCTCTGTTTTCTATAGTCAACTCTGCTCTCTTTTCTTCTTATTTGAAAGAGTTAATGAATCATTGGTATTGCACACAACTCTGAAATAATGATAATTAATTCTATACAAAAATGTTTGGTACTTATGAGACACATGAAACTCTGGAACTTTCCATCAACCACAACACAGCAGGTTGAGGGTGAATCCAGCAAAGACGGAGATAACTATGGCTGGGTCAACCAGGCAGTGGGGATATCCAGCTGCCTACCCTGGATGGCGAGGCGTTACGCCCGTCATCATTGGTAAAGAGTCTGGGAGTCCTTTTGGACCCTCTGCTGGCGATGGAGGCCCAGGTCTCCACCGTGAGCAGAACCGCCTTTTTTCATCTGTGGCAGGCTAGACGGCTGGCCCCCTACCTGTCCAGGGACGACCTAGCTACGGTGATCCAGGCCACGGTCATCTCAAGACTGGACTACTGTAACGCCCTCTACATTGGCCTTCCTCTGTCAGTGATCCGGAAGCTCAAGTTGGTACAAAATGCAGCTGCTCGGCTTCTTGCGGGAACTCCGATGAGATGCCACATAACACCAATCTTACTGCAGCTGCATTGGTTACCAATTGAGCACCAGATCACTTTCAAAGTGATGGTACTTACCTTTAAGGCCTTACATGGTCTGGGGCTGATGTACCTGAGGGACCGCCTCACCCCCTACCAACCCCAGAGATCTCTCCATTCTGAGGAACAAGATCTATTGGAAATTCCCAGTGTCAAGACCTTGCGTCAAACAGCAACCAGACCAGAGCCTTTACAGCAGTGGCACCATCACTCTGGAATACTCTGCCACCTGAAGTCCGTGCCTTGCGGGACCTATCAGCTTTCCGCAGGGCATGTAAGACATATCTGTTTCGACAGACCTTTGATCTCTGATGTTGTTGTTTTTAAATTGTTTTAAATTGTTTTTAAATTGTGTTAGATTTTAGCCTGTTCTTGTAAAGCCGCTCCGAGCCCCAGGGGAGTGGTAGCATATAAGTTTGAATTATAAATAAATAAAACTGGAGCATCAGCAGTCCCAACTCAATGAGAAGACAAAGGCTGGGCTCAAATTTCCCAACTAACCAGTTGCTCTTTTCTTCTGCTTTGAGGTTTTGAATTGATCAAGTGTGAAGATCCTGGCGTCCCTGAGTTTGGCTACAAAGTCCATGATGAGGGACACTTTGCAGGAAGCTCAGTTTCCTTTAACTGTGACCCTGGCTATACGCTGAGAGGAAGCCGAGTCCTCGCCTGCTTAACTGGGGAGCGTCGGGCTTGGGATCAACCTCTCCCCATCTGCGTAGGTATGACTCCCCTCTTTGTGTGAATGCCCGTAACTTCAGGAAGGTCTGCCATTACCATCAACATGCCTAGGGACATTCAGTGGCTTGTATTTGAATAGACAGACAATTTCCTTCTGAATTTTTGTTCGAGCTTTGAAGGGCTTATTCAAAAGTGCATAACCCTTTGCCTAAAACTAATTCTTTAAAGTTCAAAATAAAACTAGAATAAGTTCATTGTCTCCCTGGTATCAAAGCTGGCATCTCCTAGAAATGTGGCCTTTGCCGGAGTGACAAGGTTCTCTGTAATGGCTCACTTGGTTTTAATGACAAAATGATTCACCAGAAAACCTTGCCTGAGCTTCCAAAAGTGCCCTGTTCAAACTACAACGCCCAGAACCCTTCAGTCAGCACGTTCCTTGGCATGTCAACGTCTTACCAAGGAGATAGATTTTTGTAACAACTAAAAAACTACATTCCTAGGAAATGAACACAAGTTCTTGAAATGAGGAATTGATCTACAGCAGGGCTCTTCCAGAAGATTTACTTACTAGCACTCCATGCATTCTTGTTTTAAAAGCCAGCGGTAGTGTTTTTAATTGCTGTTGTTCCCATTTCAGGTTCCACGCCACCCCTTTTCCAATAACCTTCAGGTTAACTAAGTGATCAATGGAAACAAGGCTGTTTGTCTCTTTTAGTATACTGCAAGGAAACAAATCAAGCTCTCCATTTCTGGCAATATCTTGTTTTAACAGCTTGGCTACATTCCTCTGTACAAGAGCATTTACTCTATACTTTCAGAATTCTACCTGGAGGAAGGACAAGAAATGACTATTGTGTACATTTTCATTGTTTTATTTGTCACGTATTTTAATTACTTACTTACTTTATTTTTATCCCACCTTTGTTCCAACATAGGGACTCAAGGTGGCTAACACCAGGCATGACACAATCTATATAAATAAAAATGTAATGTTCGTTTGTGGGATTAACAGAACTCAAAAACCACTGAGTGAATTGATATCAAATTTGAACACAATACACCTGTTAGGCCAACAAGTGACCATCACCCCTAAAAACACACAAAAAACCAGCAGAATGGACTTTAACCCCCCCCCCAAATAAACCATATACACATATACCTTTGTATACATATACACAAGCACACATACAGACAGACACATATATATATACGCAAGCACACACAAATACGCACATATACACACCTACATATATACCTACACACATATACACATACATACACACAGACACACAGAGGTCATTTAACATTCCAGCTTTTTCATGAGGGTATTCTGACCACTAGGGGAGCTGTCACTTCACCGTCCATTTGTGGCACTGATGAAGTACTTCCTCATTCTTTTCATGCTTGCTGGATATTTATTGCATCGTAAATTAGCCTCCCCACAAAGCGGTACTGAAATTTCCTACTTGACAGATGCAACTGTCTTTCGGGCTGCAAAGGTCGATAGCAAGCTACACAAATTGGTCGGAAGTTCACTCCGACCCAGGCTGGCTTTGAACTCATGACCTTTTGGTCAGTAGTGATCTTAATGCAGCTGACTCCAAGGCCTTCTGCGCCACAGTCCCGGTGCAACAGAGACTGGAAGGTCATCTATGAGGTTGAACTGTTGGACCTTGGGGTCGCTTTGAACTCTTTATGATTCAGTGACATTTTGAGCCAGTTTGTTGAATGCTGATGTCTCATCTTCCAGCGGAATGTGGGGGCAGTATCAAAGGCGAAACCTCAGGAAGGATCCTGTCTCCAGGGTATCCCACACCCTATGACCACAACCTCAATTGTGTCTGGACAGTGGAGGCAGAGGCAGGCTGCACCATTGGGTAAGTTTGCTGTTTGTTTATATCCCACACCGTAGCATGTGACCACTGAATGCAATATATGCTTGAAACAACTGCATGATTTAAACCAGCCTAAAAGCATATTAAACAACTTAACAAATGGCTTTATAAAGTTGAAACAGTTTAAAATTACATGCATGTGATTTTTGGAATAAATAATAGGCACCAAAGGTTTAAGTGAACAAATTGCCAATATCTGCTGGATAATGGAGAAAGGCAGGGAGTTTCAGAAAAACATCTATTTCTGTTTTATTGACTACTCTAAAACCTTTGATTGTGGCAAGTTCTTGGTGGTATGGGCATACCAAATCACCTTGTCTCTCTTCTGAGGAATCTGTATAAGGACCAAGTAGCAACAGTAAGAACTGACCATGGAACAACTGACTGGTTCAAGATTGGGAATGGCGTACGGCAGGGTTGTATACTCTCACCCAACCTATTCAACTTGTATGCAGAACACATCATGCGATGTGCGGGGCTTGATGAATGCAAGGCTGGGGTGAAAATTGCTGGAAGAAACATTAACAACCTTAGATATGCAGATGACACCACTTTGATGGCCGAAAGCGAGGAGGAGCTGAGGAGCCTTCTAATCAAGGTGAAAGAAGAAAGCGCAAAAGCCGGGTTGCAGCTAAACATCAAAAAAACCAAGATTATGGCAACAAGAATGATTGACAACTGGGAAATAGAGGGAGAAAACGTGGAGCAGTGACAGACTTTGTATTTCTAGGTGCAAAGATTACTGCAGACGCAGACTGCAGCCAGGAAATCAGGAGACGCTTACTTCTTGGGAGGAGAGCAGTGACCAATCTCGATAAAATAGTGAAGAGTACAGACATCACACTGGCAACGAAGATAATAATAATAATAATAATAATAATAATAATAATCCTTTATTTATACCCCGCCAACATCTCCCGAAGGACTCAGTGTGGTTTAGAAGAGGCCAAGGCCCAACACATCAATAAAACAACAGCATAACAAATACGACAATAAATAAACTCAAAAAACAAGCAATAAACATTAAAACAATAGCAATAAACATTAGACAATAACACCACGACGCATTTAAAAACGAAGGCCGGGCCAAATGTAATGATTAAATTTTTAAAAAAATGCTGGACATGACAGGTGAAATGGATAGGTTTTTGGAGATAGGTGCGGTGTGCAGACAATCTTAAATCTCTAGTAAAGTGCATTTGGGACATGATGCTTGGAGTTTCCTATTCTGGGAAGGCACACTGGAACAACCACGTCTTCAAGCTATTCCTAAAGACTGCCAATGTTGGGGCTTGTCTGATGTCCTTGGGGAGAGAGTTCCAGAGTTGGGGGGGCACCACAGAGAAGGCCCTGTCCCTCGTCCCCACCAATCGTGCTTGCGACACAGGTGGAATTGTGAGCAGGGCCTCTCCAGATGATCGGAGAGATCGTGTGGGTTCATATACGGAGATGCAGTCACGCAGGTAGGCAGGTCCCAAACTGGTTAGGGCTTTGTAGGTAAGGACCTGCACCTTGAATTGGGACCGGAAAATGAACGGCAGCCAATGGAGCTCCTTGAATAGGAGGGTTGACCTCTCCCTGTAAGGAGCACCAGTTAACAACCTGGCCGCCCCCCGTTGGACCATTTGGAATTTCCTGGCCGTTTTCAAGGCCAGCCCCACGTACAGCGCATTACAGTAGTCCAATCTGGAGGTGACTAAGGCATGGACCACCCTGGCCAGATCCGCATAGTTAAAGCAATGGTATTCCCCATAGTCACCTACGGATGTGAGAGCTGGGTCATAGGGAAGGCTGAGCGAAGGATGATAGATGCTTTTGAACTGTGGTGCTGGAGGAAAGTTCTGAGAGTGCCTTGGACTGCGAGAAGATCCAACCGATCCATACTTCAGGAAATAAAGCCCGACTGCTCATTGGAGGGAAGGATATTGGAGACAAAGTTGAAGTACACATCATGAGGAGCCACATCATGAGGAGGCAGGAAGCCACATCATGAGGAGGCAGGAAAGCTTAGAGAAGACAATGATGCTGGGGGAAATGGAAGGAAAAAGGAAGAGGGGCCAACCAAGGGCAAGATGAATGGATGGCATCCTTGAAGATATTGGCTTGACTTTGAAGGAGCTGGGGGGGGGGGGGGGGGGGGAGCTCTGGCGTGGGCTGGTCCATGAGGTCACGAAGAGTCGGAAACGAATGAACAACAACAAAAGGTTAAATAAGCAGCTGTTTTTTCAGTCATCATTGAAACGAAGCCAGCATTCACAGAGCACTGGAGTCCAATGCAAAGGTCTTGTCTCATTGCAATGTTGTACAATCAGAATTGTGCTTAGAGTGCCATTTCACGCACGTGGCCATTGCACATGAAAATACGTATTTCAGATTTAGTCATGCATTTCATATGTAGTTGCAAATTCCATTGTGCAATGTTGCAATTCAGGAATGAGCTAGTATTGCACTATTGTCACATAATACCACCTCAATTGCCTTTTTCTTCCAACCCAGATTTTCCCATTTACAAATTCTGTCAGTTGTAGAGGGAAAGGTAATTGAACCTCTGCATCAAAGCACCCATTCATACCTCCCACATGCTGATTTAATACTGCTGTAAGCATAGCATAGGTGCTCATGTACAAGGTCCTTATACTTGGAAATGCAAAATAAATAATGAAGAAACATCACATCAGAATAATCCAACATTTCTGGCAAGAGAAGCTGGGTTTTACAACCTGTGTGAGTTATGCAAATGGGTGCCTTTTGCATGATTATTTTTCAAGTTAACATAATTTATTTTGCAGCATTGACTATTTGGCACCAGGAGATGACAGTTAAAAAAAATAGGTCAATGAAGTTCACAATCAGTAAATTAATCAACTCAGCTTCTTTGTTTCTTTTTTTAAAAATATCTTGTTGATTAATCAGTAGCCGGGGTTTGCTTTCAATGTGAGTCAATTGAAGACTTCCAAGCTCTTTTGGTGTTGGTTTCGTCTTTTTTGAAAATTTCTGAAATCAAGAAGGAAAACAAGAAAATCAGTACTAGATGTTAAATCCATAGTCAGTTGCAAAGGTTTTCTATCCAAGAGGCAATCTGTACCTGTGTAGCTGCAGCAATGTTTACAACTGGGTTGTTGTGAGTTTTCTGGGATGTATTGCCATGTTCCAGAAGCATTCTCTCCTGACGTTTCTCCTGCATCTATGGCAGGCATCCTCAGAAGTTGTGAGGTCTGTTGGAAACTAGGAAAATGGGGTTTTTATGTATCTGTGGAATGTCCAGGGTGGGAGAAAGAACTCTTGTCTGTTTAAGGTAGGTGTGAATGTTGAATAATAATGATAATAATAATAATAATCTTTATTTATACCCTGCCATCATCTCCCCAATGGGGACTCGGAGTGGCTTACACGAGGCCAAGCCCAAATAGCAATTACAATAAAGAAAAACCAAAACAGAAACCGAAAACGCGAACAATAAACAATAACATAATAGTTACATAAAACATATGAATACATAACAATATTAAAATTACAGTAGACAAAGGCACAATAACAATGTGCGGGCTACATGTCATGATTAAAAGACAAACTAATTAAAACTAATTAAATATTTGGGCGAGATAAAAGAGAGAAGCAGGTGATTAGCATTTAATGGCCTTGCAGTTTCAAGGTGTGGTTTCCTACTGCCTGGAGGAATCCTTTGTTGGGAGGTGATTAGCTGGGCCTGATTGTTTCTTGCCAGGAATTTCCCTGTTTTTGAAAGTTCTTCTTTATTTACTGTTATGAATTTAGAGGGTTTTTTTTAATGCTGTAGCCAGATTTTGTTCATGGTTTCTTCCTTTCGGTTGAAATTGCGTGCATGCTTGTACACAAATCAAGGAACATGAAAGGCACTGCAGATTCATTCAGCCAGAGAAGTCAGCCATAGCAGAGCACTTGATGAACCAACGTGGACACAGCATATTATTTGAGAACACAGAAATGCTGGACCACGCTAACAACTACACAAAATGTCAGACTACACAAAATCTGGCTAGCATTCATAGAATCATAGAATCAAAGAGTTGGAAGAGACCTCATGGTCATCCAGTCCAACCCCCTGCCAAGAAGCAGGAATATTGCATTCAAATCACCCCTGATAGATGGCCATCCAGCCCCTGTTTAAAAGCTTCCAAAGAAGGAGCCTCCACCACACTCCAGGTCAGAGAGTTCCACTGCTGAACGGCTCTCACAGTCAGGAAGTTCTTCCTCATGTTCAGATGGAATCTCCCCTCTTGTTTTTAAAAACTCTAAAATCAGGACAATAAATGAAGAAGAACAACACTCAAAAACACGGGAATTCCAGACAAGAAACAATTAGGACCAGTTAATTACCTCCCAACAAAGGATTCCCCCAGGCAGTAAGAAATCAGACCTTGAAATGCTAATCAAGGTGGCCAGTTGCAACATTCACACCTACCTCAAGCAGACAAGAGTTCTTTCTCCCATCCTGAACATTCCACAGATATATAAACCCCACTTGCATAGTTTCTAACAGACCTCACAACCTCTAAGAACGTCTGCCATAGATGCAGGCAAAATGTCAGGAGAGAATGCTTCTGGAACATGGCCATACAGCCCTGAAAACTCACAGCAACCCAGTGATTCTGGCCATGAAAACCTGCAACAATACAATGTTTACAACATTGCTAGAATGTTTCCATGCACCATTTGCAGAAAAAAAAAATCCAACTGGAAGATTGTGACTCCAAACCAACTAGGTCTAATATTAGCAAGGGCAGCCTGTTTGGTATCAGTTCTTCATGAACATGTCCACTGAAAACTCTCTATAATGCCATCCCCAAATGGCCCCATCAAGTTCATGCTTCCTGATGCAGGTAGTATCAATTCAAACATATTGGGGTTTGGGAGACTTGTGATTGTCATTCCTTTGTAATTAATTTATATATATCAATAGCTGCCCCCTGCCACGCGTTGCTGTAGCCCAGTCTGGTAACCTGGAAAATCAAGTAATGAGAAAGTGCTGGTTTCTAATATATGTAATGTCTTTCTGCTTGTGGGTCAACAGTATTTCTTACTGTTTCTTTGTTAGTGTTGATGTGGAGATTGTCTGGTTTGCCTACTCTGGAACATGCAACATGGAAATTGTCCTTCTTTAGGGGTCCCTTTCAAATCTATACTATATCTATGTGTGTGTGAATCATTTCTATCTAATCTATGGCCTCTTTGTCAGGAGGGCTTTGATTACGTTTTCTTGCCCTGGTGGAGGGAGTTGGACTGGATGGCCTTCAGTATGGGGGTTCTGTGTGGGAAGTTTGCCCCAATTCTGTCGTTGGTGGGGTTCAGAATGATCTTTGATTGTAGGCGAACTATAAATCCCAGTAACTACAACTCCCAAATGTCTATGTCCCCCAAACTCCATCTGTGTCCATATTTGGGCTTATGGAACATTCGTGCCAAGTTTGGTCCAGATCCATCCTTGATTGAGTCCACAGTGCTCTCTGGATTTAGGTGAACTACAACTCCCAAACTCAAGGTCAATGCCCACCAAACCCTTCTAGTGTTGTCTGTTTGTCATGGGAGTCCTGTGTGCCAAGATTGGTTCAATTCCATTGTTGGTGGAGTTCAGAATGCTCTTTGATTGTAGGTGAACTATAAATCCCAGGAACTACAAGTCCCAAATAACAAACTCAATTATTTGAGTGATGGTCACTCCTTGGGTTAGTAGGTGCTGTGGCCAACCTTCCCTCCCTCTTTCTCTCTCGCCTTCCTTCCTTCTCTCCCTCTTTCCTTCGTTCCTTCCTTTTTTCCTTTCCTTCTCTCTTTCCTCCCTCCCTCCCTCCCTCCCTCCCTCCCTCCCTCCCTCCCCCCTTGCTTTTATTTTCCTTCTTTCTCTCCTTTCTTCCTTCTCTCCCTTTCCTTCCTTTGCTCTTCGCTTCCATCCCTCCTGCTTTCTTTCCCTCCCTCTTTCTCTCTCTCTTTTCTTCTCTGCCGCTTCCCTTCCTTCCCTTCTTTACCTCTTGCCTGGGCACTGGAAGGAAGGATCCTCGGAGCCAGGCGCGGAGCACGCGGGAGGGAGGCGCTTTGGAGGCAGGCCTCACTCACCCAACGGCACTCCTTTTCTCTGCCATGGCTGTGGGATGCCTTCTTGCCTATTTGTCGGTTGGGCATGCCGTTGGTGCCTCTCACGCTGGCTGTGCTCGCGCGGCGGGGGTGGGGCGAAGAGAATGGGTTTGGACTCATGTGCAGTGTTCTCTTTTAAAATTTAAGATCTTGCTGTTTTTTGGGAGGATTTTTTTTTAGTGCAGGACATAGATTGCTCTGAATGCTGTGCTGTGTCCAAATTTGGTGTCAATTCCCCCAGTGGTTTTTGAGTTCTGTTAATATCACAAATGAACATTACAATTTTATTTATATAGATTGTAAGACCTGCAGCACAGTTTTTGGTCATTAGGAGGCAGATGTCTCCAACCACCGCACAGGTTTACAGTTGGTCCATTTGTAGCCAAAATGATGCCATTTGAGAGATAAAGTTGAAAATGTCATCCTGTCTCCATAATGGAGATGGAGTGGGCAGACAACAGCTACATTATGGGATGTGCTATAGCGAGAAGTGGTAGCAGTTGTGCTTCTTTCACTGAAACCAGGCAAACACAAAGGGTTCGGGTATTGTGTCCAAAGCCTTTCTGATCATCAAACCAAGGGCTATTTCATCCTGAGTGAGACTGAGCATGTTCTCAAGTGCCAAATAAAGACCCAAAGGTGTAGCCCTCTTGGAAAAGCAGTGAATTAATAACCATGCAGTTGTCTGACATATATAATGCATTACCATAGCACCCATTATCTCCAAGATGAAATTAAAATATTATAAGCTTCACGCTGCTGCCACTGCCTAACAAGGGGAGAAAGAATGGCAATAAAAAAGAAGAAAGACAAAGCTTCCATTCAATTCATCTTCAAGTACAGAGGGCCTTTTTTAAAAAACAAATCTCTGACTTTTCACTCTATCATCTTCTGTCCCTATTTGGTTAAAAAGCACTGAATTGGAGGCACTTTTTCAACTGAATCTGCTGATGCAGTCCAGTTAGTTCAGCTTCTATGTCTCAAATATCTCATATTCTATAACTGTAGACTGTTCTGTGTGTTTCTTACTCAATAATCCTTAAATGGGTGTTATATGAAGACTAAAACTGTTCCCTGCACCATATGATTACTAGGGCTGGGCAACCACGGAAAAATTTGTTTCTAAACTCGATTCGTTTTTAGGGGTTTTTTGCGTTTCGATTTTTAAAAGAATTCCGAAATTTTTCTTTTAAAAAGTTCGAAATTTACGACATTTCGGAAATTACGAAACAATTACGAAACAATTACGAATCGATTCGTTAATGGCGGACGCGACCGCGCAATACGCTAAAAAAACCTCCAAATGGGACAGGGGAACTTCTGAAGCTTCCCTCTCCCTCTGTTGTTGACTGTTGGTGTGATAATTATATTTTTTTTCACTGATTAAACAAACAACAACTATAAAACTTGCCCCAGACATGCGGAAATAATAACGAAACGATTTCGAAGCGATTTCGAAACGATTTCGAACCAATTACGAAACAATTACGAAACGAATTGAAAAATTCGTTTCGATTTTTAGTTGCTCCTGAATGGTTCAATATCGCTTCGTTATCAAAAAATAACGAATTAATAACGAATTACGAAATTAACAAACGAAACCGCCCAGCCCTAATGATTACATTAGTTTCATTCCACTTTGACTGCTCTAGTTTCATTGTAAGGAATCTTGGGATTTGTAGTTTGGTTTGAATTCTCTGCTAGTCCAAATAGTTTAAGAAACAATGTTAACTCAAAATTTCCAAAATACTTTATCTGTCAATGAGACTAGGACGTGGAACAATGGTTTCAAACTACAAGAAAGGAGATTCCATCTGAACATTAGGAAGAACTTCCTGACTGTGAGAGCTGTTCAGCAGTGGAACTCAGTGTGGTGGAGGCTCCTTCTTTGGAAGCTTTTAAACAGAGGCTGGATGGCCATCTGTCGGGGGTGCTTTGAATGAAATTTTCCTGCTTCTTGGCAGAATGGGGTTGGACTGGACGGCCCATGAGGTCTCTTCCAACTCTATGATTCTATGCTAGAGAATTTATTTATTTATCATATCAGAAGCAAACCGAGGGTACAGTTGGAATCTATTTTAAAAACACAGTTTTGAAAAATTGGCACTATACTAAATGTCCTTTGACCAGAAGCTGGTCACTTGGAGTGTCTCTGGTGTTGCTATAAGAAGGTTCTCCACTGTGCATGTGGCAGGGCTCAGGTGGCATTGTAATAGGTGTTCTGTGGTTTGCTCTGCTAAGCACTCACATGTCATGGACTCCACTTTGTGGTCCCATTTCTTAAGGTTGGCTCTGCATCTTATGGTAGCAGAGCACAGTCTGTTCAGTGGCTTCCTGTCACGATGACAAGCCTCTGCCTTATTCAGGTAGAGATGAATCAAACAAACATCCAGTTTGTATCAAACAATTTAATTAAAACAGCACTTACTTTCTGGCTGTTTTGTCCAAAATATAAAACTTAAAGATAGCACTCAGACGCAGAATAAACAAAAATGGATAGCAAAAACTACACTGTAGTCAAAGGGTCCAGTCCAGTAGTCAAAGAGTTAGTTCAGTGAGCAATGTCCAGGGATCAAGAGTCTATACCGTAGTCCAAAGTCAGTCCAGAGATTCAAAGTTCCAGAGTTCTAAGAGTTCAAGAGACAGGTCTGGATACTAAAAATACAGAGGCCTGGGGTAAAAACCAGCAGCATCTACCACCAAAATAAGACAAATCCTTTTCTCCCTAAGATCAGTCCCAAGGCTAGCTCATTATATCGAGAAACACCCAGCTGCAACCTGTGTCTTGCATACCTCCACCCTTAATTGCTTTCACCCATAAACTCTTACTTACAGATTACTCAACCCTTTAGAACTAAAACCCACATTAACCCTTCCATCACCAACTGCTAGGCCTACCACCACCAACCACCATCAACTGCAGAACATGATACATGACACTCCCAAGTCACCCAGCCTTCTGTGTGTCCAAGGGGGAGTCTCTCTTTCAGTATCAGAGCTTCTATTCAATTATTTCAAAGCTCCCTGCTTGAGCGGTGATGGCACAGTTGTCAGCATAGATGAAACTTTCTGTCTTTTCTGTCAGTGGCTGATCCTTTGTGTAAATGTTAAACATTGATGGTGTGAGCAGGTCGTTCTTTTGTTTTTGCCATCTCCATCTCTGGCTCTGGAATTCAAGATAGAGAATTAAATTAGTTGAATCCTCAATGCTTCTCTTCTCAGTGCCCCACTAATTTTGAATTTCAGGGTTCCTTAGGACTGATGAAATTACACTAGAATGAATATATATATCTGTCATGCAGATGTACTGATTTTCTCCTCTGGGGAACCCCAAGAACAGTTTCATAGTGAAGAATGAGAATTCTTTAGGGAGAGTTCAAAGGCTCCCACTTGTCCCAGCATTCTTTGGGAGAGACCACCACATCTTTAAATGGAAAGTTGAGCTCGCTGTGTAGAAATAGCCTTATTGTCTGTTCTTTCCTCATCTTTCACCACAGGCTCCATTTCATGGTTTTCCACACAGAAGAATTCCATGACGTTCTGCGGATCTGGGATGGCCCAGTTGAGAAGGGGATTCTCCTGAAAGAAATCAGCGGTTCCATCTTGCCCAGTGACATTCACAGCACCTTCAACTCAGTGGTCCTCCAGTTCAACACTGATTTTTTCACCAGCAAACAGGGATTTGCCATTCAGTTTTCAGGTAGGTCTAAAGAAGGACTGGGGATTGTCTGGTGAGAGTCAAGCAGAGATCTAAAACAGGGTGGCAATGATACTATGGAAGCCAACATGGTGTGATAGTTCGAGGTTTTGGGCTTGAGTGTTACCAGTACGCTGATGACACAGCTTATGTTGAAGATGCAAGGCCGACCAGACTCTGTACCCGATTGTTTCCATCAGTGCCTCGAGGCCGTTACTGGATGGCTGTGTGCCAGCAGGTTGAGGGTAAATCCGGCAAAGACGGAGATCCTATGGTTGGGTCAACCGGGCAGTGGGGATATCCAGATGCCTACCCTGGATGGCGAGGCGCTACGCCCGTCATCATTGGTAAAGAGTTTGGGAGTCCTTTTGGACCCTCTGCTGATGATGGAGGCCCAGGTCTCCGCTGTTAGCAGAACCGCCTTTTTTCATCTGCGGCAGGCTAGACGGCTGGCCCCCTACCTGTCCAGGGACGACCTAGCTATGGTGATCCAGGCCACGGTCATCTCAAGACTGGACTACTGCAACATCCTCTACATTGGCCTTCCTCTACTGGTGATCCGGAAGCTCAAGTTGGTACAAAATGCAGCTGCTTGGCTTCTTGCGAGAGCCCCGATGAGATGCCACATAACATCAATCTTACTGCAACTGCATTGGTTGCCAATTGAGCACCGGATCACTTTTGGTGATGGTACTTACCATTATTATTATTATTATTATTATTATTATTATTATTATTATTACTTTATTTGTACCCCGCTAGCATCTCCCGAAGGACTCGATGCGGCTTACATAGGCCAAGGCCTCAAAACACAATACAACAATACAATACCTAGAGCAAATTAAAAACAGTTAAGCAGAATAAACAACAGCAATAACAATACATCGAGACATCAAGACACTATAAAACTGGGCCAGGCCAGAGAAATGGGTACAAGATTAAAAGTGCTGATGTGGCAGGAGATATGTAGGATTATAAAATAAGTGCAGTGTGCAGTGATCTTAGTTCTACTAAAGTGCTTCTAGGACTTGGTATTGGGGGTTCCTAATCTGAAAAGGCACATCGGAACAGCCAGGTCTTCAAGTTCTTTCTGAAGATTGCCAGCGAAGGGGCCTGTCTAAGATCTTTTGGGAGGGCGTTCCAGAGTCGGGGGGCCACCACAGAAAAGGCCCTGTCTCGAGTTCCCACCAAGCGTGCTTGCAACGCGGGCAGGATCACGAGCAGGGCCTCTCCAGATGACCGGAGTGAACGTGTGAGTTCGTAGACGGAGATGCGGTCACGCAGGTAGGGTGGTCCCAAACTGTTCAGGGATTTGTAGGTAAGCACCTTCACCTTAAATTGGGCTCGGAAAATAAACGGCAGCCAGTGGAGCTCCTTGAACAGGAGGGTTGACCTCTCTCTGTAATGAGCCCCGGTTAACATCCTGGCTGCTGCCCGTTGGACCAGTTGGAATTTCCGAGCCGTTTTCAAGGGCAGCCCTACGTAGAGCGCATTGCAGTAGTCCAATCTAGAGGTGACCAAGGCATGGACCACCCCAGCCAGATCACCCTGGCCAGATCAGCCTTCGCGAGGTATGGTCGCAGCTGGTGCACAAGTCTCAATTGTGCAAAAGCCCTCCCGGACACCGCCGACGCCTGATCCTCAAGCGTGAGCGATGAGTCCAAGAGGACTCCCAAACTGCGGACCTGTGGCTTCAGGGGGAGTGTAACCCCATCCAACACAGGTTGCCACCCTATACCCCGATCTGGTTTACGATCGACCAGGAGGACCTCTGTCTTGTCGGGATTGATCTTCAGCTTGTTCCTCCTCATCCAGATAGACACAGCGGCCAGGCACTCATCCAGCACCCGAGGGGCCTCCTTGGAATTAGGTGGAAAGGAGTAGTAGAGTTGTGTGTCATCTGCGTAGAGATGGCACCCAACTCCAAAACTCCGGATGACCTCTCCCAGCGGTTTCATGTAGATGTTAAAAAGCATGGGAGACAGAATAGAGCCTTGCGGGACCCCACAGGTCAAAGGCCAGGGGTCCGAGCAGGCGTCTCCCAGCTTCACCATCTGGGTTCGTCCCTCCAGGAAGGATCGGAGCCACGACAGAACCGTGCCCCCGAGACCCATCCCAGAGAGTCGACCCAGAAGGATACCATGATCGATGGTATCGAAAGCCGCTGAGATGTCCAAGAGAACCAACAAGGTCACACTCCCCCTGTCTAGCTCTCTACGGAGGTCATCCACCAAGGCGACCAAGGCTGTCTCGGTGCCATGACCAGGCCTGAAACCAGACTGTGACTGATCTAGGTAGTTGATGTCATCCAAAAAGCCCTGGAGCTGAGAGGCGACCACCCGCTCCAGCACCTTGCCCAAAAAAAGGGAGGTTGGAGATCGGCCTATAATTGTTCAGCACCGTGGAGTCAAGGGAAGCCTTTTTGAGGAGTGGACGAACCACAGCCTGTTTCAAATTAGATGGAAAAATCCCTTGCTCCAGTGATGTGTTAATGATCAACACAAACCAATCAACCAACCCCTCCTTGGCCGATTTAATGAGCCAAGATGGGCAAGGGTCTAGAGTCGAAGTGGTCGCCCTCACAGCCCCAAGGACCTCTTCCACGGTCTCAGGAAGAGCAAGCCTAAAAGAAGCCCTTTAAGGCCTTATATGGTCTGGGGCCGATGTAGCTAAGGGACCGCCTCACCCCCTACCAACCCCAGAGATCTCTCCGTTCTGAGGACCAAGATTTATTGAAAGTTCCCAGTTTTAAAACCTTGCGTCTAACAGCAACTAGATGCAGAACCTTTACAGTAGTGGCACCATCTCTCTGGAACACTCTGCCACCAGAAGTTTGTGCCTTGTGGGACTTATCAGCCTTCTGCAGGGCTTGTAAGACATATTTGTTTCAACAGGCTTTTGACCTTTGATCTGTTGTTTTAATTTGTGTTAGATTCCAGTTTGTTTTGTAAGCCGCTCTGAGCCCTAGGGGGGTGGCAGCATATAAGTTTGAAAAATAAATAAATAAATAAACTACAACCATGTTTTGAATCCATGTTCAGTCATGAAAACCCATGGAGTGATCTTGGATGAGTTGCACACTTTTGGTCTCAGAAGACCCGTAGGGTCACTTTTTTTTTTGTCGTGTCAGGAGTGACCTGGTGTGAGAGAATTGGCCGTCTGCAAGGACGTTGCCCAGGGGACGCCCTGATAATTTGATGTTTTATCATCCTTGTTAGAGGCTTCTCTCATGTCCCCACATGAGGAGCTGGAGCTGATAGAGGGAGCTCATCCGCCTCTCCCCGGGTTCAAACCTGCGACCTGTCGGTCTTCAGTCCTGCCGGCACAGGGGTTTAACCCACTGTGCCACCGGGGGTGCTTGAAGACACACAACAGTTACAACAAAAGTTGTGCTTTCCCATAGGCACTTAAGTACAGAAAACTTCTGATTGATACGGGATGCTAACAAAATGCAGATGTCTCACTATATTAAGTAAACATGAGAGGATGCTGATATGCATCATGAAGCTGATCTGTGCAAAGCATACTTCATCTTGTATCTCTTGCACCTCTTATTCAGCTAGCGAAGCAGATATTGGCTGGAATCCTGATGATGCGATTCACATGTGTATATTCTCTTCAATATGAGGTTGTGGGTTTTTTTTGGTAACGGTTTCACATAGGCATAAATTTTAGTCTCTTCTGCTAAATTTCTAATTCCACTCTGTGTCACTTACAACACTTTCACTCTCAGATCTTTAATCATGGTGTGGTATTTGATTGCTCTCATATCACCAGAGGCGGTAAATCCACTCTGGATTTTAGAATGAACTTTGAATACGCGATCCAAAATTCTGAACCTATTTGGAGCTAGGGCTCAGCTCTTTGGCTGCTCCTTTGAAGTTCAGGCTATCAGGGTAAATTCACCTCCCAAAGTGACTTCATTGCCACCAGATTCTGAAAATAGTATTATTATTATTATTATTATTATTATTATTATTATTATTAAAGCAACCTTTTTACAAACTCATTAGGTTTAGCCCAAGTATGAGTTTCTGGGTTCAAGCCCCTTGTGAAACCATCACAACATGATTTTGTCTTAATTCATTTTCTCAGTCTCTTCTTTTGTTTCCAGTGTCCACTGCCACCTCTTGCAACGACCCAGGGGTTCCACAGAATGGGAGTCGGAGTGGTGGCAGCAAGGAGGCAGGTGACTCCATCGTTTTCCAGTGCGACCCTGGTTATGCCCTTCAAGGAGAAGCCAAGATCAGCTGCGTGCAAATTGAGAACCGTTTTTTCTGGCAGCCGGATCCTCCGACCTGCATAGGTACAAGACCTCAACTCTCTTGACTCTACAATTGTCAGGGTACTAGAAACAGCCGCACAAGAACCAGAAGTTAAAAAATTCAAATAGTTTTGTTACTGATAACTGATCCCTTTTTTTTTTGGGGGGGGGGGGGGTACCAAGGGTACAACAATATTACCTTTGAAAAGTGATGTAGCAAATAAAAGGAACATTTATTTATTTTGTATCAAAAGCATTGCATAAATGAGTATAAAATCGATGAAAATAGAAGGAATGCAGGTGGCTAAATATCTTTTGACCAAAAACGGGCAACAGCAATGGCATTGTCTGTAGCCTCCAGCAATTCTTCCTCTGTACATGAGGTAGGGCATAGTGGACAAGCATACAGATGTGGAGTTGTCTGTTCTGCTCCACAGTCACATAAGGTGTGGGATTCTTTTAGGTAGTGCCATTTTGCCAGGTTGTCTTTTGTTCTGCCCACTCCACTTCTGAGTCTGTTCAGGGACTTCCAAGTTGCCCATTCTTGTGTTTGCCCCTCGTGGGGGGCATCCAGTTGGGATTTCCTGGTTTAGCTGCCTAAAGGGATACCTTTGCTTTGGCTGGGGGGACGCCAAGATGAGTGTTAGTTCTCATAAAGCTTTTCCTTGATTTGAGTCTACTGAGAGGAGGCTGGTAGCCATGTAGTGGATGGCTTTCACAATGTTCAACCTTATTTCTCTTACATTTAGCAGCAACTTCCCATCACACATCGGGGGGGGGGGGCAATGCCAGCTAACTTGTAGAGTTTATCAACAGGTGTAGGTTTAAGACATCCTGTGATTATTCTGCATGTTTCATTCAATGCTATGTTCACCTGCTTTGTATGGGCCAGACCTATGACAAACAGGGCAGGCATACTCGTCAGTTGAGTAAGACAAGGCTAGGGCTGATGTTCTTACTAATTTTAGGTCTGCACCCCATGTGCTGCCAGTATGTTTCCTCAGGATGTTATTGCGTGCAGCTACTTTGTGCTTGGTGTTCAAGCAGTGTTTCCTATATGTTAGTGTTCGATCTAAGGTGGCACCAAGATATTTAGGATGGAAACAATGTTCAAGCTCTTGACCTTCCCAGGTGACTTTCAATTTCCTGTTGGCTTCACGGTTGCATAGGTGGAAAGCACACATTTGTGTCTTGGCAGAGTTAGGCTTCAGCTGGTTATCTTTGAAGTAGTTGTTAGCTGCTTTGAATCCCCATGGGGAGAAAGGCAGGAGTATAACGTTTTTTATTATTATTTTACTGACACAAAAGCACAGTATGTCACAGCAAACGAGATCTATATGCTGGATTTTGTATCACAAAATCACAAGTCGAACACTTCCCAAGAGTCTAGGACTGTGTGATGCATTTTCGAATGATGCGTGCAGATCCAAGTAAGGTGGTCTTTTGCAGTTGACAGATCGTGATTTTGTTGATGTTTATTGTTTCCAAATGCTGGCTGAGATCTTTTGGCATGGCACCCAGTGCGCCAATGACCACTGGGACCACCTGTACTGGTTTATGCCAGAGCCTTTACAGTTCGATTTTGAGGTCTTGATAGCAGCTGATTTTTTTCCTCTTGTTTTTCCTCAATGCGACTGTCACCTGGTATGGCAACATCAATAATCCAGACTTTTTTCTTTACCACAATCATGATGTCTGGTGTGTTGTGTTCCAAAACTTTGTCAGTCTGGATTCAAAAGTCCCACAGTATTTTTGCATGTTCATTTCCCACGACCTTTGCGTGTTTATGATCCCATCAATTCTTTACTGCTGGCAGGTGGTACTTGTGACATAAGTTCCAGTGAATCATCTGGGCCACAGAGTTGTGTCTTTGTTTGTAGTCCGTCTGTGTGATTTTCTTGAAACAGCTGAGGATATGATCCATGGTTTCATCAGCTTGCTTGCACAGTCTGCCTTTTGGGTCACAGCTGATTTTTCAATCCTGGCCTTAATGGCATTGGTTCTGATGGCTTGCTCCTGGGATGCAAGAATCAGGCCTTCTGTCTCCTTCTTCAGGGTTCCATTCATGAGCTATAATCAGGTCTTCTCCTTGTCAACTTTTCCTTTAATCTTCTTAAGGAACTGCCCATGTAAGGCTTTGTTGTGCCAGCTGTCAGCTCTGGTTTGGAGTGCAGTTTTCTTGTACTGACTCTTTGTCTGCTGTGCTTTGAGAAGTTTCCGATTATTGACTTCAATTAAAGCAGGTTCTTGGCTTTCTTTATTATCTTATTACTTTTGAGTTGACCACAATAGTATATTTTCCTCTAAATGACCAAGAAAAAGTAATGCAGCTGCATAACAACAGAATATTATTTTCAGACCTTCTCAGGAGTCAAAAAAGCTCCACTGAATCTTGCCCCACCCCCTCAAAATGTGAAAATGGGGGGGGGGCTTTTTTTACCCCCTCTTTTCTTGGCCATAACAATCCTGTCCCTATTTTATCCAACCCCACATGCCCATCCACAGCGTATAACAATTGGCATGCCAAGTACACCGGAGACATAAATGTTCAATTAATGGCCTAATTAAATGTTAGCTGTCTGTGTCGTCCCTTTGCACTTCATTCGTATTTAGAAAATGTAATCCCGAGCAAGGGAAATTAATTAGATTCCTTTCTTTCTGGAGCTGATTGAAAAGTAAGTCAGGAAGCAATTGCTCACTCGCTCCCCATCTCTGCTTTCAGCAGTTCTTTGTTTCTGAGTGACCCGTTTCATAATGCGCCACCTTCTCAGAATCGATGGTCAAAGAGACCCTACTGAGAACATTTATATAACCAGGCGCTAGTTTGGCAAACATCCGTTCCCAAAGGCAAGATAAGTGAGAAGCCACTTAAAGTGGGAAATAGATAAGGGAAAGGAGGTGTGATTCACACTCCCATACAATACCTATTTCTCCAAATTGCTTTTCACCAGCCCACCTTCCTGCCCTCCACAGAGGTCACTTCACCCCTCGCTTGAGTGGGCTAGGTAATGCATTAAAGCCATAAAGCCATTTTCTAAGGTTGGAACTGGTCTTATATAGCAATTGTAGATTATAATTTATCTTTAAGAGTTGATGGCGATAAGTGAGATGGTTGTTGAGCAGGATTATAAGTCCTTATGGGTACATCTAAACTATAGAATTCATGCAGTTTGGCATGGATGTTGCCATTGGCCAACTTGATTAGCATTGAATAGCCTTTCAGCTCCAAAGCCTGGCTGCTTCCTGCATAGGGAATCCTTTGTTGGGAGATATTAGCTGGCCCTGATCAGAAAATGTGAGAATTCCACACAGCAACTACAACTCCCTATCTGTCTGTCTGTCTGTCTGTCTGTCTGTCTGTCTATCTATCTATCTATCTATCTATCTATCTATCTATCTATCTATCTATATCTATATCTATGGCTGATGGTTCTTAGTCAGGAGGCAGGGGCGGCTCAACCCATTACGCAAAGTAAGCATTTGCAGCATAGTTGATTTTGCCCAGGGGCGCTCTTGAGGCACTCTTGGGGGAAATAGACTTTGACATATGACATATGCGAGTTGTAGTTACTCGGATGTATTGTTCAACTACAATCAAAGAGCATTCTGAACTCCACCAATGATGGAATTGAACCAAATATGGCACACAGAACAGAAATTATGCATCAGTGATTGGTTGGAGGGGGGGGGGGCAAAATACTGTTTGCTTACCATTGAAAATTACCCAGGGCCGTCTCTGTCAGGAGGACTTTGATTACGTTTTCTTGCCCTGATGAAGGGAGTTGGATTGGATGGTCTTAAGTATTTTCTGTTGGTCTTGGGGGTCCTGTGTGGGAAGTTTGCCCCAATTCTGTCGTTCGTGGGGTTCAGAATGCTCTTTGATTGTAGGTGAACTGTGAATCCCAGTGACTACAACTCCCAAATGTCAAGGTCTATTTCCTCCAAACTCCATCTGTGTTCATATTTGTGCGTATTGAGTGCTTGTACCAAGTCTGGTCCAGATCCATCATTGTTTGAGTCCACAGTGCTCTCTGGATGTAGGTGAACTACAACTCGCAAACTCAAGGTCAATGCCCATCAATGCCCATGTTAATCATGGGAGTCCTGTGTGCCAAGTTTGGTTCAATTCCAACATTGATGGAGTTCAGAATGCTCTTTGATTGTAGGTGAACTATAAATCCCAGCAACTACAAATTCCAAATGACAAAATCATAATTTTTGGAGTGATGGTCACGCCTTGTGTTGTGAGACGTTTTGTTGCCATAGTTGGTGTGATTTTGTTCATTGCTTCTTTTGTTTTTAAGGCACTCATTATGCACAGAGCATTTATATATATATATATTATTATTATTATTATTATTATTATTATTGTGTTTAGAGCCAGCCTATTTCCTGTATTGGGAGAAAGGTGGGATCAAAACAAAGTCAATAAATAAATAGCTTTGCTTTCCTTCTCTTTCAGCTCCTTGCGGTGGGATCCTCACGGGACCTTCTGGGGTGATCTTGTCACCAAACTACCCAGAACCTTACCCCCCAGGAAAGGAGTGTGACTGGAAGCTGACGGTCTCTCCCGATTACGTTATCGCCTTGGTGTTTCACATGTAGGTTCTTTCTTTTCTATCCCTAGAATATCATGCAGAATGTGGGATGCTGGGTGCCATTGCAGACATATCCTGCTAGTTCATTTCTAGAATAGTGTGCCAATGTGGACTTGATGGACAATACATTTGAGCTTCCATCTTTTGACATCTTAAGGCCAACCTACACTGCCATATAGTGTAGTTTGCAACTGCATTATATGGTCAGTGTAGACCAGTGGTTCCCAGCCTGTAGGCCGCGAGACTTAAAATAATGTCCATTGCTCTAGATTATTAGATATGGTTTTCTTTGAGCGAGCAGAGGGGGACTACTGGATGACATATGTTCTGTATCAGAAACTAGAGCTGATGTGGTCTATCCAGTGCAATTTTCTGAATCAGCATCCCAAATAACCAAACCAAATCTCAAATTGTTGAAAAAAGATTTTTATACAAACTTTGAAAATTTGCCAAAATACCGTAAGTGAAACATTCTGAAAATTGATGGGCTAACAGTGGTAAATGTGTTCTACCACTGCAGCAAGTTTCACACCAATAGCTTTAAAAATGAGGAAGATGGGAGCCCCTGAAACTTTCCCATTAAAGTAATTTCATTATGCGCAATTCCTGTAACAAAATAGTTACAAAATTTTGTTAGTCTCATTATAGTAACAACATTTTCACAAAGTGTACTTTAGAAACAGTTTACAAATGAAGCGCCAGTTTTGCAATGACTTTTGAACTATTTTTTAAGGATCGCAGATCCCTAATAGATAGGTAGGTAGGTAGGTAAATGAGAGGGGGAGAAAGGATACATAAGATTTCAGCTCTGAACAATGCCTTTTGGTTTTTTAAAAACAGAATTTGCCTTCAAACTAGTGCGCCAGCTGCGCCCGTACCTTGGGAAGTCTGACTTGGCCACGGTAGTCCACGCACTGGTTACATCCCGTATAGATTACTGCTATGCTCTCTACGTGGGGTTGCCTATGAAGACTGCTCGGAAGCTACAAATGGTCCAACGCTCGGCAGCCAGGTTGCTAACAGGAGCGGCACTCAGGGAGCACACCACTCCTCTGTTGCGCCAGCTCCACTGGCTGCCAATCTGCTACCGGGCACAATTCAAAGTGCTGGCTTTATCCTTTAAAGCCCTAAACGGTTCTGGCCCGACCTATCTGTCCGAACACATCACCCCCTATGAACCAGTTAGGACATTAAGATCGTCCGGGGAGGCCCTGCTCTCGATCCCGCCAGCCTCACAAGCATGGCTGGTGGGGACGAGAGACAGGGCCTTCTCAGTGGTGGCCCCCCGGCTGTGGAACGCCCTTCCAGTTAGATCGGCCCCCTCTCTGCTAGCGTTCTGGAGAAGAGTGAAGACCTGGCTCTTTGAACAGGCGTTTAATTAAGCAGTACAATTAATTGATTGACCATGGAACATGGAATAATGGACTAAGAGATTGGATTACGATTTTGCTGATGAGATGTGATGGATTAGTTATATGGATGTATTGATGTTATATTGCTGTATTGATGTACTGTTATATTGTTGTAGTTGCCCTGATTACTGTTTTAATTGCTAATTCTGTCCACTTTGTATACTGACTTGGCTGTAAACCGCTCTGAGTCGCCTACGGGCTGAGATAGAGCAGTATACAAATAAAGTAAATAAATAAATAAATAAATTCAAGAGACAAAGCCAAAATCTTTTGTCCAGTAAGAAGATCTGCATTCAGTGCGTGGCTATGGAAGTAGAACTTGAGGCAGGGTTGCTGTGCATTCAGGTGGAAATGAGTTGTGCATTCAGTTGCATATCATTACTGCCTAACACAGTTGTGCTGGCACGGCAGTGTCAGGTGATTTTAACCTCCTTTTCTTGCACTGCTAGTTTACATGAATCTATTTAAGCCATGCATTTTGCAATAAGGTAGCTTCCCTCAGGTTGCAGTCATAGGGCCAAAAACTTGGCAATCATCGTTAGAATCTTTAGACCCGACCCTTTTCCCAGGGTTTTGCAGGGAAATGAGGATTTTGTTCAGTCTCACTGTTTTGGAGCCTAACAGCAGGACATGTGGGTCTCTCTCTCCCACCTGCACAAAGGCTTCACTTCTCACAGCTTTTGTGGCGGGAATACAGCCAGCTTTTGCTGGGGGTTAAAGAAATAGATCCACAGCTCTGCTGGGGAGTAAAGAAATAGTTCCTACAGCCTTTGTGGAGAAACTATAGGACACCTTTCAGCTTAGCAGATCTACAGGAGCCTTGCCTGGTAAGGGATCACTCGGGCTATCCATAAAGCAGCTTGGAGCCGGGAGTAGGGGCCTCATGCCAGCAAGGTAAAGAGAGATTGCCTAGGGAGGGGTCAAAGGATTTCCCTAAGGAAGAAAGGAACAGTTTACCACCAGTTGCCTGCCCCTTGATAGCAGATTGAGGAAGCTACTGGTTTCCCAAGGTTATGAAGTGTTTAATGCATTTGTTTGAAGATTTAAGCCCAAATAAAGAACTTTGTTGAACTTATCTTGAGCCTCAATAGAACTTTGTGTTGGGAAATCTAAAGGGCCCTTCAGCTGAGGCACCCCAGCGTCCCATTGGGCATACAGAGAGCACGTCCTGTAAACAGACATTATTTCAGGTCCAGCATGCCACAGCACAACAGTCATTTGAATAACACAATCAGTGTGCAAATCTTATATGAAGAGTTATATCGTGTAGCCTCAAAGGAGGATTGCAGTCCATGTCAGGGGTTGAGAATACTTGGTTGGAGAATTACAAGAGTTGTAGTCCATAAAAGTCAACTTATGTTTATGTTTTATAATGTTTAATTTTGTTGTATGGTTTTTCGTTTGGCAATTGAATGTTTTGCCCTGTTTTTGGAAACCGCCCTGTGCTCTTGGGGAGACAGGGCAGTATATAAATAAAGTATGATTATTATTATTCCTAAACTCTGGTGTAAATCTGTTTACCAATGCATAGGCTAAGAGTGGTGATACAATTCCATGCTGTTTCTGTCTTTCTTCTCCTTCAGTTTCAACCTGGAAGCAGGATATGACTTTTTGCACATCTACGATGGCCCCAGTTCTCTCAGCCCCCTGATCGGGAGTTTCTATGACACCCAGTTGCCTGAGCGGATCGAGAGCAGCAGCAATAACCTTTTCTTGGCCTTTCGGAGTGATGCCTCAGTCAGCAATACTGGATTTGTGATCCACTACACAGGTATATCTATCCTGAAGATGTCTTTATTCTTTCCATTGGCATGCCCACTTAAAAAAAAAAAAGAAATAATTGCACTTCTAAAAGTCATGAAGTGCTTGAAGTGCTGATCCTTTTTGCCTATATGTCTGCAGTGCTTAGCCTGAAATCTGAGCCTATATAATGCTTCCAAAAATAATTGGAGCTGTGTGAGTATGTGCATGTTTCTACAAAGTGGATGTACAATGGTTATCTGGACAGTAAGGTTACAAGATTTTTTAAAAATACAAATAATGAATATATTTTAATAAAACTTACATGGATTGTAGCATTGGTATTACATTATTTTTCCAGATAATCATCATTCAGTTCAATACATTTTTTCATCAGTGGGACGAGATTTTGATGCCTGTTTCTCTCCGCCTTTTTCAGCCAGTTCATAACTTTGATTTTTACCTCGTCATTGTTGGAAAAGTGTTTTCCACCCAGGTGTTCAGTTTAGTTTACAGATTATAGTCACTGAATGTGAGATTGGGGCTGTGAGAGGAGTGGCTTAAAACATCCCAACCAAAAGAAGTCAACCACTCTTGTGTTGCAGGAGTGGTGTGTGGGCACGCATTGTCATGAAGAAGACAGACTCCCACCGTCAGTATCCCGCAACATTAGTTTTGGATGTCTCTGTGAAGTTTCTTCATGGTCTCGCAATATCTTTCATACCCATTTTGTCACATGATCTCTTAACATTACATCCTCTCCATAAATTGAAATGATTTTGTAATGATTCGCAGCAGTGTTCATGCCCTTTGCATTTAGGTCACGTATTGTGTAACCTTCACCACAACACCAGTCGATGAGCTACTGATGACTGGCACTGCTTGTTTACTTCCGCTGGCTTCCTATTACATGGTAGTGATACCAACTTCCACCAAGAAAATTCCCCACAAGAGCTACATGCCTTGTAATAATGTAATACCAATGCTACAATCCATATAAGTTTTATTAAAATTGTAAACTATACGGCTCTGGTCCAGCGTACCTGTCCAAACGTATCTCCTTCTACGTCCCACCTCGGAGCTTAAAATCCTTTGGGGAGGCCCTGCTCTCAGCCCTGCCTTTGTCTCAAACATGTTTGATGGGGACGAGGGACAGGGCCTTCTCGGTGGTAGCCCCATGCCTGTTGAATTCACTTCCCGAGGAAATTAGATCATTGTCATCCCTCCTCACCTTCAGAAAGATGGTAAAATCGTGGTCGTGGGACCAGGCCTTCGGGCAATCAGGTTAAAGGACAATGGATAATATTTGACTATGGCTTGGCAATGGAATTGGATAAGTGAAGCGGAGTAATCATTAGGATATGGCTAGACAAATAGCCACCAGACTGGCAATAGCTAAATGGATCGTAAGTACACTGTTTAATTTTTATTTTAATGTTCATGTTTTTAATTGCTATATTTGATATTTGTATTTATGAAGCAGCATTGAATTGTTGGCAATTGTAAGCCACACTGATTCCCCCTTGGTTGAGAAGGGCAGGGTAAAATGTTCTAAATAAATTTATTTATTTATTTAGCTATTTATTTAGAGCTTTCATAACCCGGTTTTCTCGACCTCCAAAGAGGGACTCAGGCCAGCTAACAGCAGGAAATTCATACAAAAAATAAATAAATAAAATAAAACCTTAATTTCCTGATAACCCTCGTATGTATGTGTGTGTGTTGTATGTGTATGTATGTGTGTGTGTGTATTACACAGTGGTCGATGGTCTTTAGTTTTACCCCCGTTTGGACCCCCAGATGTCACTGAACAACTCCAATCACTTTTTATTATACACCATGCAGACTGGGGATGATGGGAATTGCAACCCAACAGCAGTTGTGGAAAGGTGAAAGAATCTTTTAAAGTCAGGCATCCTATCCACATGCCTTGGATCTAAATTCAAACTCGCCTCACCTGACTAAACTGAACAAATTGTGGCCTTCCAGATGTTTCTGTATCACAACTTCCATGTGCATGAGTCATGATGCCTAATGTTAAGGAAGACAGGAGGTGTAGTCCAGCATTTGAAGGACCACATAAAGTGACATGGAAGGCTGGATTCAGCCCACAGGCCTTGAGTTTGAAACATATGCTGTAGAATGAATGAAGTCTGACACCACTTTAACTACCATGGTTTGATCCTATGGAACCCTGGGACTTTTAGTTTGGCGAGGCATGAGCTCCCTTTGGCAGAGAAGGCTAAAGATTGTGTAAACATACGACTCACATGATTCAATAGCATATGTAAAGGCTTCCTCTTTGTTGTCTGATATTCTATTCAATCTAGTATGCTGCCACCATCTGTGAGGTACTAGGCTATGTTGCCACCAATTAATAAGGGTTTCCTATTGAGTTTATTAATGGGTTCCCCTATTTTCAAATAGATTCGCTGCTACCACTCTGTAGTGTTTCTTTTGGTGTGTAGCGAGGTTTTTTTTTTAAAAAAATAGTACACTGAGACTTGAGTTACTAAAACAAGAACAAGTTTATTTGGAGCATGGAAGGGTCTTCATGGTTTCAGCGTTCTCTTCTCCTGAGGTATAAAGCTTCACAAGTTACAGCTTCAACAAATATTAATATAACTTTAGGATGTCTTTTACTTCACCAACTAGTTCTTTAGTTGTTACACTTCTAAATATGTTTCCTTATTTGACAGATTAACTAAGGTCAGCTAATGCCCTTGTCTCCCTTCAGCTTCCTGCTGAAGTAAAGATTCCCAGTGGGATTTCTTCTCCTATTAGCACACAGCTAAACCACAAACCTAAATAAGTCCCCTTGACTTATTTAAATCACTCAGGCTAAAAGCTTTCCCTTAGTTTGGTTCACCACACGTTTGAACCACCTTCCCTTTGGCTCGATGACCAAAGGACTGAAGCCTCAAAATGTCTGCTTCTGGTAAGTGCAGTTGGCTCCACCCCTTTCTCCATGGCAACCTAACTCAGAGTGCTGAGCTTGGTCCCATCCCCCTAGTTCTGCCATTTCTAAATGGTTAACCCTTTATGTACATCCATAACTGTGCCACAGATTTCATAGAATCATAGAATCAAAGAGTTGGAAGAGACCTCATGGGCCATCCAGTCCAAACCCCTGCCAAGAAGCAGGAATATTGCATTCAAATCACCCCTGACAGATGGCCATCCAGCCTCTGTTTAAAAGCTTTCAAAGAAGGAGCCTCCACCACACTCTCTCCAGGGCAGATGTTCCACGTTCTAGTCTCCAGGGAAGCAGAAAACAAGCTTGCTCCCTCCTCCTCCCTGTGGCTTCCTCTCACATATTTATACCTGGCTATCATATCCCCTCTCAGCCTTCTCTTCTTCAGGCTAAACATGCCCAGCTCCTTAAGCCGCTCCTCATAGGGCTTGTTCTCCAGACCTTTTATCATTTTAGTCGCTCTCCTCTGGACCCATTCCAGCTTGTCAATATCTCTCTTGAATTGTGGTGCCCAGAATTGGACACAATATTCCAGATGTGGTCTAACCAAAGCAGAATAGAGGGGTAGCATTACTTCCTTAGATCTAGACACTATGCTCCTATTGATGCAGGCCCAAATCCCATTGGCTTTTTTTGCCGCCACATCACATTGTTGGCTCATGTTTATACATATAATAATATTCAACCATCTAAGCATATATATATATATATATATATATATATATATATATATATACATATACATATACATACAATCATATTTCACTGTAGAGACACATATACATAACTACGCTTAACTTACAGTTAAAAATCAATGCTTCATCACAGCATAGTGCCATGACAGTTAAAGTGGTGTCAAACTGCATACATTCTACAGTGTAGATGCACTACAAATCTCTTAGTTGCATTTGAGTCTAGCAGCACTAGTCAACCCATTGAGTATTGGGGTCTCCCTTATGTATATTTTCTGTCATTTCCTCCAACCTCTTTTATTCCTTTCCCCCCTCCATTTCTTACAAGTTCAGCTTTCCACAATGCCTCCAACTCACTAGGAGCTTTTGCATTGAAATCTCAGCTCATCAGTTCCCAATGTTACATCTCTGTGAGTAGCATATAGGCATGGAAAGCTCCATAGGTACATTTAGGAGAGTAGCATAAAAAAGTGAGGATGGGTGAAAGAGAGAAGAAGAAATCCTCCCTCCCTTCCGAACCCGCACAATGGTACTTACTTAATCAGGGCACATTTTATTAAAAGTGGCATGCTTTGCCAAAGATGGTCAGGGAGGCGAATCCAAAGGCTAAACCACTCATTCTTAAAGGGAATCATTTAAGTTTTAATTGACTGGAATGTGAATAATTCATAATTGGGGTTTAGCTTAAGTATTTTGTAGCTAAGTGTGGAGATGGACTTGGAGAGGAAAAAAGGAGGAGGGCGGCATCACGGGAGTTCCTTGATGGATTTTTAATAATCTTATGGGTCACTAGCCAGGGGGTAGCTGAGAGATTAGTTTATTCTGGGATAATAGCACCTAAATTCACTGAATGATTGCACTTAGTTTACTTTTTAGTGGATGGGGATGCAGAATTTATTCTCATTGCCAGTGAGAAGGGGGGGTGGGGGGGGGGAAATGTTCAACTCCAACACAAATTTTTTCATATTGTGGACTTTTTAAAAAGATTGCACACACACACACAAAAACCCTTTGCAGATAAGCAACAATGTTTTGGGGCAGAATGTTAATATACTTCATAATATGAGGGTTACCCAGAAAGTAAGGTTACTAGGCATGTAGCTCTTGCAGGGAATTTCACCTGACGATGATGAGGTGAAAATCGAAGTGACAAACTGGCTGAAAAACTCATCCCACAAATGATAAAATGTATTTATTTATTTATTTATTTATTTACAGTATTTATATTCCGCCCTTCTCACCCCGCAGGGGACTCAGGGCGGATTACAGTGTACACATATATGGCAAACATTCAATGCCAATTTTGACATACAACGTATACAGACATACACAGAGGCTATTTAATCTTTTCTGGCCGCCAGGGGA